GCTACGTGAGTGCGCGCATACTTACCATGCGCCGCACAAGCTTCGCCTCTTTCATTTAACATGTCAAACAGTCCCTGTCCCTGTCTCTCTCTCTTTCTCTCTCATTTGAGCTGTGAACAGAACAGAAAGCCTGCGCGCCCGCCTCAGGCGTTCTCATTTGCGGCAAACACGATCGGGAAAAGGAACGAACAAAAAAAAAAAAAAAAAAAGAGAGGCGCAGCACACACACATACACAAACACAGACACGCACGAGCTCAGGCACTCAGAACAGGCACACACAAACACGCACATGTTTACCGTTGTTCTGTTGGGGGAAAAAAAATTATTTGCATTTGCATTTGCTTTTGCGTTTTGCTTTTGCATTTTGCTTTGGCCTTTTCGTTTGCTGCAACAGCAACAAAAAAAATAAAAAAAAAATTTTTTTTCTTTTTGTTTTGCGTTTGCTTTTTATTTTTTTTTTCGCTTTCCATATATACATAGGTATATATTTATATATATAGAGAGAGAGGCAAATATATATATACATATACATATATATATATATATATGCTTTCTCGCTTTTGTCGATCGGCGTTGCGTTGATGTGTTGTTGTTATTGTTGTTGTTGCTGGTGTTGTTGTTGTTGTAACGCACTACAAACTAAATAATTTAAAATTTAACGCTATGTTTTCAAGATATAGATACGTTTATATATATATATAGTCAATATATGTTATATGGTATCTATATATATACTATATGTATATCTATATATAAATTTACTTTACTTTTGTTTATATATCTATATATGTTATGAGAATAATTTGTTGGTTTGTTAAATCATAAATATGATGCGATTGTGTTTTATTTTTTTGTTTTGTTTTTGTTGTTGTTTTTGTAGCATGGTTCAATCAGGGCAACGTTTTTGTTTTATTATTATTATTATTTTAATTATATATTTAATTTTGTATTTAAAAAAATTAATTTTCAGTTCCTTTAGTTCAGTTCAGTTCAGTTTTGATTTCATTTATTATTATTTTATAAATTATTTTTTATGCTATGCCACAAAAAAAAAAAAAAAAAAAAAAAAAAAAAACCACTTCTTTTATTTACTTAATTGTTTTTTTTGTTTTTTTTTAGTTATTTGCCGTGGGATATTTTTGTTGCTTTAGTTTGTGTCTCGTTTTTTATTATTTTATATGCAGCTCAGTCCATTTTATTCCATTTTTGCACACATACACTCGAAAAAAAAGTTGGATTTCTTTAGCACATTTTCTTTAAGTGTATATATATATATATTTAGATTGGTATATATGTATGTGTATATGTGTAAAAAAAATTGATATATATATATATTATTTGCTTGTTTGCTCCAAGCCTAAATACAGCGCAGCAAACAAAGCTAAACTGTCATCGATATTGTTATCGACAAATTGTTATCGATATCTCTATTAGTGTCTTTTGTTTCGTTTACTGTTATGCATGAGTTGATCGTTGTTTAAGGATTAGAAAAACAATTTCTACGGCACTTGGGTTCGGTTTTTTGCGTTTTTCAATTTATTTCTGATTATTTTGTTTTTTATTTTTATTGATGTGTATCTATGTGTGTGTGTGTGTATCTGTGTGATTGTGTATGAGTGTGCGTGTGTGTGTGTGTTGAGTTATTTTTCTTGGCTGCACTAAAACTCATTTGTGGAAAACCTAAACAAATTTAAAAATATTGTTTTTTTTCAGCTTAAAAAAAATTGCCTGCTTTTTTCTCCAGTTTTTGTTTTTGTTTTTCGTTAGTATTATCTAAAGTTAATTTTAAGTTAAAAATACGCATTTACTTTTTTTTTTTCATTTTTTTTTTATAATATTTTTTTTTGTTTTGGTTTTTTTTCTTTGTGTTAAAAAAAATTACTGTTCAAATATACAATTCAATTTGTTTGTATTTTGACCATATTTATATATAGATAATTAATTGAATATATATTTTATAATATATATAGCGAACATTTTTCTCTTCTATTTTTACATGGGAATCAAATTAAAGAAAAAAAACAAAAAAACAAAAAAAAAAAATAAAAAAAATTGCAACAGGAAATTTTTTTGTTATTATATAGAAAAAATATTGCTAATAAAAAAAAAAGAACTAAGAAATTATCTTTATATTTAGAATTAAGTATGCTTAAAGTTGATTTTGTTTTATGATTTCTTTTTTTTTTTTTTTTTTGTGTTTCTCCTTGGGACGTGGTTAGAGTTGGTTGATTGGTTGGATTGTTGGTGTGTTGTTTGTCAAATAAAAAAAAATTATATATATATATATATATATAATAGATATATATATATATATATATATATAAGATTTCTCTTTTCATATGCATAAACTGGTCTGTTGTTTGGGCATTTTCATTAGGTTTTTTTTTTTTTTTTTTTTTTTGAAAATTTGCATCTCATTTCATTACTTTGCTTTGTTTGGGTTGTTTGATCAGTTTTGTTTTCTTTTGTTTTAGATAAACTTTTGTGCATCAAAGTAGGGATGCGTTTTTTGGAAGCGCTGTTGTGATTTTAATGATCTACCTCTGTGAACCATGTTATTGAAGCCGGCCGCCATGTGCGGTGGTGGTGGTGGTGGTGGTGGCGGCGCCTGCGGCGGTCCCATTCCCATCTGTGACATGAAATGCGCCGCCTTTGCCTTGCCATGCTCCTCGGCCAGGCGCACGGACAGCGGCTGGGAGCCGCCCTCTGGTATAACATTGTTCAGCGCCGAGATAGCCTCCTGTGCCTCCTCGCGTTTATTATAGCTATAGATGATGCATCGCAGATATCGATAACGATTTCGATATATATACACATATATATTTAGTAGGAATAGACAAATGTGAAATATGAAAATAAAAAAAAAAAAAAAAAAAAAAAAAAAAACAAAAACAGATGATTAGAATGGAAAGTGTTGATTGGATGCGAGAACATTATTGATGTATCCAGCTGTTATCGATTGGTATCGATATACATGGATTTATTTAGTTTTTTTGTTTTTTGTTTTTCTGCAACTTACCGCACAAACGCCACGCCCCTTGGCCGCCCAGTTAGCTTATCACGCAGTATATTCTTTTGCACTATGGAACCGTATTTGCCAAAGATCGTGTCCAGCTGATCATCGGTTATCGTGCGCGGCAGATTGGTCACATACAGATTTGTATCCTTGATCGACTCACCGCCAGGACGCGCATATGAAACCTGCAACAGAAGTAAGAGATCGTAAGTATTATATATATATATATCTATATCAATTGGAGTATGAGATCGGAGCGAGAATCAGTTAAAATTAATGTTAAATGTTCGATTAGTTCATTTGAACTAGTTCACTTATGCATTAACTCTATAGTAATTATATCAGCAATTATATTTTACATACTATTTCAGACTCTAATTCATTTTCCCTATATTTACCTTGAGCCGCTTATTGCGCACTGTGATCCCATTGAGAACTTTAATAGCACGCTGCGAGTCCATTTCCGATGTGAAGTCCACGAAAGCATAACCAAAACTGTAGCCAGTCTAAACGAATCGGAAGAGAAAAAATATATATATAGTAATATATAATTGTCGTATTTTCTTAAATGAATTTATAGCTTCACTTGATTTAGATGAACAAATGCACTCACCTTATAGTCTCTCATGATTCTGCACGTGTTGATGGGTCCAATGGCTCTGAATAGGGCATACAGCTCGCGATCAGTCATATCCTGCGGCAAATAGTTCACTATCAAATTGGTGTTGCTTGTGCGCTGATCGTTCATCAGATCATCGCTGCCGCCGCTGCCGATCGATAGGCCGCACAGATTGTTCAGCGAATTGTTGCTGGCCATTGGCATGTTGCAGATGTTGCCGCCGAGGGAATTGGCGCTGCCGCCATTGCCCCCAGGGAAATCGTTGTAACCGCGACGCGACGAGGAACTTGGAAATGTAAATTCTGTGTCCTGTGGTGAGAACGCATAACGTGACTGTAATCAAATTAACCATACAAAGATATTCTAATGTTGAGAGTTGGCCTCAGAAAACGCTGTACGCTGTATCTTTCAGTTTATTTTTTCAGTGGATATTTTTCGCTTGTTGAGATATTGACTTTATTTTATCGCTGTTATCGATATACATACTTTCTCTTTGTCTCTCTCTCTCTCTCTCTCTTCTCACTTTTTCAGCAGCATCAACAACAACACACAAAAGTTGTCTACAAATTTGTTATTTTAAGGCTTAATTAAGTTGCAGAAAAATTAAAGTTTTGCTTGAATAGAAAATGTTTAAAATGCTCAAAATGTAACGTGCGTACTTAACAGTTGCTATTTAACAGACGCATCTTAACTTTGGACAGCACTCAGCTCTCTTGTAGCTTTTGCTGATTTTATGTTCATGTTTGATTCTGTTTATGTTCGTGTGTTTGTGTAAATGTGTGTGTAACTGTATTTAACGGCATTCAGAATGGCATTTGTTTTTTCTTCTTTTTTTTTTTAAGGCAAACGGTATTGCAAATTGTGAGCATAAAGCATAAAAGACAAAACGAAAGACAAAGGCAATTCTCAAAGAATATGAATAAAGAAAAACCGAACAAATTGCCAGCTATATATGCATGTCTGTGTATGTGTGTGTGTGTGTGTGTGTGTGAGATATTTATGTGTGTCTATGTGGGTCTATGACATTGATTGGCTGCAACAGCACTGAGCGTGTATACGGAAGTGTGTAAGAGAATGGGTAAGGTTAACTTATTAACAGCAGAGAGCTGTTATTGAAATGTTGTTAGCAGCGCAAGAAATAAAATTGCTGCTGCTTGATGTTGTGTGACTTTGGCTGTTGTTGTTACTGTTACTGTTGTGTGGCTGTTATTGTTGTTGCTGTTTCAGTTTAATTCTGTTGTTGTTGTTGTTGTGACTTTGTTTTTAAGTTTTGTATTTTGTTTTGCTGACCAAAATGCAAATTTTAAATGATCAAATTTAAAGTTGTATTTATTTAATTAGATTATTTTACGTTTTCTTTAAGTGAAAATATTCGTATAAATATATGTAACTATATTTTGAGAGCATCCACAAAAACTGTATTTATTTTTTTTTTTTTTTTTTAATTCTGATTAAAAGCGTGTGTGCCCCAGGAGCGTTCAATGAGACAAACTCAATAACATTCAACTAGAATAAATTTTTAAATATATTTTGCATAAACATACAAAAACGAAAACCAAACAAAAATTCAATTATCAATGCAAATTGCAAATTGATTTTTTTATTTAATATTATTTTTTAATTCTTTTTATTGCTCATGCAATGAAATTTGACTTTGATTGATTTCGAACTTTATGTTCAAAATAAAATATAAAAATTTATTGTATTTACTATAAAAGAATAAGAAGCAGAAGAAGAAAATACATACCATTCCCGATGGCAGTGAATGAGACATGCCAAATACACGTCCACCGCTGTTTCATTGATTGATTGATTGAAGAGAAGAAAATATAACAATATTAGCACATAATATATATATAATTTTATTTCAGTTTTTTTATTAATAATAAAAAAAGAAGGTTATTAAATTAAGACTGATTTAAGGCGCAATTTGGTTCTTGGTTTTCGAAATATGTGAAGTGAATTTTTGAATGTATGAATGAATTGACTTAAAAACTAACTTAAGGTGGACATTTGCATTTAGATCTAAGAAGCAACGCAATGTGTGCAGCTGTTAACCTTAACAGAGCCACATTTAACATCTTATAAGCTGTTAACTGCTCAGCTGTTAATTTCAAGAGCTTACGCGCATTGCTTTACCTTATCATACTTATAGCTAGACTAAGACTAACTTAATTGCTATGGGAGATTTTCATAATTTATAGCAGCCTTTCGGGCGCTAAATGCAGAAAGAGAGAGAAGGCAAATATTACTAGATGCCTACTGAATAAGAAAGCAGCAGAGTTAGATATCCAAAAAATAACTCTGCGCAATGCAAACGCTAAGAAAAAAAATATGTTTTTGAACTGATAAATTTGTATATTCAATTTTTTTTTTTTTTTTTTTTTTTTTGTTTGCACTTGGAAAAAATTTTATGTAATTTTTTTATTCATGCTTGCACTTAAAAAAAATTGAAAAAAAATACACTATCATTTTTGTTTTTACTTTTGGCTTTACACTGGAAAAAAAATCTGGACACATATTTCATATTTTTGATGCACTTAAAAAAAATTATAAAAAAATACTATTCTTATTCACACTGAAAAAAATGGATACCCCTTTTAGACAATGCGGACGAAAATCTTTAGTTACATTAGGTGTCACTGAAAAAAATTGCCTGCGGACGTAATTTACTTTTTCCACTTCAAAGAATATTTATAATTAATTCCAGTTACACTGAAAGGAATACCTATTAAGCACTTGAAAATAAAAAGATAATTTTACTCTGCACTTAAAAAAAAAAAATCGAGTAACTCGTAGCTTCACTTGAAAAAAATTTATAAAAAAAATTAAAAAAATAGGAGAGAGGACCACATGGACAATTTTTGTTGAATGATGGAAATTAATTGACGTGTATTTTTTATTTTTTTCATTTTTTTTTTTTTTTTTAATATTTTTTTTTTTTTTTTTTTTTTTTTTTTTTTTTTTTTTTTAGGGTAATGTAAATAGGACGAGTCTTTACTTACAGGCGTTGACGGCGTCTTCGTTTAAGGAACATTTTGTTGTTTGGGTTCTTCACAGAGATTTATCACACCAGTTTTATTATATATATATATGTGTTATAATATATATATGTATTTATATATATTCTTTGTTTCAAACAATAGTAATAGTAATATTAAAAATAATCGTAATAATAATGAAGTGGAGCGAAAAGCAACCACACTAAATACAATCGAAGCGTTTGTATCTGTCGTTGTTTTCGCTGTTCTTGTTGAGATCGCTTGATAAGGCTGCTGTTGCTTGGCTGCTGTGGAAAGAGATCATGTCTACACAATTAAATCAACTGGCAAATAGATCGATAAACACAGATATTAATTCATATATACATATTCATATATGTATCGATTAATCGATGCGGGTGTTGTGTGGGTGTGTGTGTTATGTTGTGTATGTGTGAGTTATAGTCAAAGGAGTTTTTTCGTTCATATATTTTTTTTGTATCAAACTTTCATTTAAAAAAAAAAAAAAAAACATTTTTTAGCACACGAAAAAAAAGAGAAAAAAAATAATAAACTTTGCTAATTGCCTGTATGTGGCAACGCCCGCAAAGCTGCTCCTGTTGCTGTTGCTGCTGCTGTTAAATAACAGCGTCTGCTGCTCTGGAGTTGAATAACAGTTGCTGTAGTTTACGTGCTGTTAAATATCGTTTCTGCCGCTGTTGATGTTGTTGATTGTTGATTTTCGTTTGTTTGATTGTTGACTGTTGACATTGATGATTGCTGCTGCTGGTGCTGATGTTGTTGCGGCCTCAAGGCCTGGCAAACTTGTTGTTGGCTTTGTATAAATTTTCTTTTTCAAATTTTCTTTTAATTTAAGATTCGCTACTGCTGTTGCAGTGCTTAAGAGTGAGAAGGAAATATGGGCAATTCGTCTGTTATGCATTGGATATATAGATATATAAAGGGAAATCTATACCTGGCTGACTGTGTTTGTGCGTGTGTGTGTGTGTGTGTTTAAGTTACTGTGTGATTGTGTCTGTGTATTTATTATAACAACAACAACAAACATTACAACTGTTGCTGCTGCACTGCTTAATGTTAACTTACATGGCTACAAATACATAACTTAAGCTTAACAGCGCTGCTTCTGTTGCTGCGGCGGCGACTGCGACTGTTACGGGCATATGTCAAGGTCCTGACACAGATTTGCGAGAGCACGTGATACACGCACACACATGCATGCGAGCACGCAGCATGCTCTCTCTCTCGCTCGCTCTCGCTCTATCTCTCTCGCTTGCGCTATCGTTGTCGATTTTTGTTTACGTTTGACCGCCGCATGCAGCAATAAATCTAAGGGCACAAAAGCACAAAAATCTGATGACGCCATTTGGAGTATGAAGTGCGGCAACAGCGCACAACTTTTTATTATGCATTTTGGCATTTGGCGCTTTATCCATTTGGCAATCAAAAGGAAGTTGAATCATGCAGCTCAAGGACCTACAAATATGAAGCTGCGCCGTTGACCCACCGAAATAGGTCAACTAAGAACACAGGCACTCGGCACGAGTGCGTCGCCATGTGCTTATGCCTATGTGTGTGTGTGTGTGTGTGTAAGTACAGCAAAAAACAGTCAAGGGAGAGAGACAGAGATATCTATGCTTAAACTTAAGCTTAGCCTATGCTATGAGGGAAAATGCATTTTTGAGTGAAATGAAGTAGCGGGCGGTATTTTTTTTTTTTTTTTTTTTTTTTGTGATTTGTGAAGCGAGGCAAAGAACGTAAAGCAAGTGGTGAAAATTAAAAAGGCAGTTACAATAACTTTGATGGTGTAAACAAAACGAATTACAAGAAAACTAAAATTGGATTTTGAAAAGTTTTTTTCTTTTAGATAAGAGAACATTTACCGGTACATCGTGAGGCTGTTTAGGTTGCAAAGGCCGCACCACGAAAACGTTGTTAGGCCGTTACTATAATCCTCTCAGTGGCCGAAAAAAATATATTGATATATTCAACGAAATCTGCTCTCAAATCACGTTGAAACTGGAAATGTCGTATTTTTCCATCTTGCTTTTGGTTTTCGTTTTTGATTTTCTTTTTTAGTTGTATTTCTGTTATATTTAAATGCAGTTACAGTTACGTTCGAGTGGAAGAGCTTGCCTTACGTTACGTTACGTTAAGTTAATTTGAGTATTGTTTCTCTTTTCTCTTCTTTTTCTTTTTCTTTTTGTATTTTTATTCTTCCTCCTTATATTTATTGCTTTTTATTTATCACATTTGTATTGCAAGACACTGACGAACAGAACGCGACGCGACGCGTTGCGTTACGTGACATGTTGCGTTACGTGACGTTAGCGATGCGAAGCGCTGCAGAAAATCGTTTCAGTATAGTTTCTCTCTCTATATTATATATATATATATATATATATAAACATATACAATTATATATTTATATATATATATGTATTTTATGCATATGCAAAATGTGAGAAAATCAATGGGAGCATGAAACGACGCAACGAACTAACGTAAAAACGTAACTGTAAATGCTAAAAAGAGAGCGCAAAACGAAAGAGCTACGTAAAGCGTAAAGTATGGAGCGCAACAGCTTTCCCAGATGAAGCGAGAGATAGAGTGGGGGGCTTATCGGATGCAATGACCATACAAAAGTAAAACTCTAAATATGAGTGTGTTTAGATTTTAAAATGAGCTACAAATCATAATTTTAGGTAGAGGGGGTATTACGTGTCGGTTATGTATAATAGTTAACTGAGGAGTACGAGACTGTTTATTTTTTTTCTTTTTTTTTTTTTGTTTTTGCTGTAGTCTACACACGCTTTACACATATAGATTGATTTGTATTCATATCTTATTTTGAGGTTAGCTTAAGGGCTGCTCTATGTGCTTAATTTATACTCTCGTTTTTTTTTTTTTTTTTTTTTGACTGTACAATCTAGTACAAATCAGATAAATAATGCTTCTACTTGTTGTTGCATTCAGTTATTGTTGCTGTTGTTGTTGTTGTTATCGTAGCACACTCAAGAGTTTCCATTGTTGTTGAAAAAACAATAACAAATTTTTTGTTTTCTTTGTTTTTTCCGTTTTTCTGTTGTAGATAAAACTAAAGAAAATGTGTGCATGTAAATGTGTATGTATGTGTGTGTGTTGGGTTATTTTAGTATATTGATAGGTTACGTTCGATTTTTTTGTTTCACTTTAATTAGACAACAGAATAGGGGTTTAAAAAAAAAAAAAGGGGGGGGGATATATATATATATATACCAATGCACACAGCGACGTTGCCAGATCATCAATTGAGCCTAGCAAAAAAAAAAGTAGGTGTATGGGTGAGGTAGGGAATTGTCTAAGTCTACAATCAGCTGCAAAATAGGCTACACAAATTTTGTTGTTTGCAGCTAAAATTATAACTGGGACACAAAAATAATAGTGGGAACTCGTTTCTGTGTGTGCGCTACAAATATAACTTTTTGGTACGTTAATTGGCTGTAGTTGTGTTTTTATGTGTATGTGTGTTCGTGTGTGAGTGTTCCTTTGTGTGGGTGTGTGTATAAAGGGAAATTTATTGTTTGGGATCATGGGGAAATTTGATAGTGTTGTTTGTGTGTGTTTGTGTGTGTGTGTGTGTTTGTGTGTGTGTGTGTGTTTGTGTGTGTGTGTGTTTGTGTGTGTGTGTTTGTGTGTGTGTGTTTGTGTGTGTGTGTTTGTGTGTGTGTGTTTGTGTGTGTGTGTTTGTGTGTATGTGTGCGTCTGTGTGTGTAGTTGTTGGTATGTTTGCAGATGAAGAAACTGAAGTTAAAATTTACCTCGACTTGTTGTAACCGTATGGGGGATAACCACCGTTATTATTGTTACTACCCGGATTATTGTTGCCGTACATATCCTGAGAGTGTGTGTGCACGAGTATTTTTTGCAAAATACTCTCAGTGCGTCGTTCTTTTGTACAAGACTTGAAGATTTTTTCTCGTTCTCTCTCACTTTCTCTCGCACGTATGTCTCGATCTACGAGATCAGAGAGTTTCGAATTCTACTCTCTCTCTCTCTGTATCTTGGTCGATTGGCGCTCAGCGCTCTCAGCTGCCAGCTGCTGTTCTATATTTTTCTTTTTTTTTGTGGTTTATGCTCAAATTGTCTCGTCTGCTTTGGGTGTGGTGTTAGTGAGCGAGCGGGTGCTGTATGAACCTGTGTGTGTGAGTGTGTCTGTGTGTGTGTCTATGAGTGTATTTTATTGCCTGGCGAGAGCTCTTTCAGGCTCTCGTCGTAGACTGGAACGCAAACAGTTGCGTTTAAAGCCTTTTCGTTTCCTTCTCTTTTTTACTTTTATCAGCTAGTATCAAATATATTGGCGGGCACTTTGTCTCTTCTTCTTTGTAGACTGTTTTATATTACTCTCTCTCTTTCTTCCTTGTAGCTGTTGTTGGCGCGCTCAGCTGTGTAGCGGTTGTTACTAAGGTTGTTGTTGTTGTTGGAAGTGAGAGATGAGAAATTGGTAAGGAAATTAACATATGATCAAAGAGACGTGCACTAAGCATTGTTTTCTCTTACTTAATGTGTGTATGTGTGTGTGAGTGTGAGTGTCTTTGCTGCATGTGCGTATGAATTTGCAAATGTGTGTGAATGTGCAAGCGATTTTTTTTAGAGTAAATGCCAATTACCTAAAGAGCGACATGTAAACGGCAGGCATATTACATATAATTAAGATTATCGGTTTACAGTAAAATTTGTATGCGTGTGTGTGTGTGTGTGAAAGAGAGAGAGCAAACATCATTGCCACTTTGTATCCCAAAATCACAAGCACATTAACAAAAGCGATCTTTAATTCAGATTTCCAATCGAATTTCCTTCTTATAATTATGATAAATCACAGAATTTGTTTTAGCTTAATTTTCAGTAGAGACTAGATTAGTTAGAGTTGTCGCCCTATCATAAGCCCATTAACAAAGGCGATATTTCTATATAATTATATTAGTATTTAAAAATACAGCATATTTACAAACAAGAACCAGTTTTTCAGACTACAATATATTAGAAAAAAAAACAGAACTCTATCAGCCAAAGTACTGGAGTAGAGCTATCACCCTAAACAAATTCAAAAAACGCTGAAATAATGTGTAACAAATTTCGAAAACCAAAATGCAAAATTCCGCTTAAATATATTTATACAAACTATATGCAAACAGATATATCTGTTTAAACGAGGCCAACACTGGATATATCTGGATATAGATAATATATAAGAGAGCGCCAACATACCTTGCCATTTTAAAGTTATAGAAGGACGACATAGTCGTTGAAGGTGTCACAGTATCAAAATTGAAATCCATTTTTAAGGATATAGTTATCACACACGAATTATATATAGGGAATATTATATATTTGTAACGAATCACAAATTGTAAGGCACAAGTTAGACTTGACACGAGTGAAACTCGACTGAAGTGCGGAGGAATGAGTCAAAGCTATTTAAACGATCGCCCATATCTGCACCAGTGGGCGGAGAGTCCTGCAGGCTACCTGCACGGAGAGGGATAAGGAAGGAGGCGCAAGTCGCGCGTGCCTGACGCGTGCTCTACCTGGGCGAGCCAGAGGCAGAGGCAGAGGGAAAGAGATAGAGCGACCACCCACCACCCGACTCCCACACGAGTCGACTGGACTCGACTCGACCCGAGCAGCGATCAACGCTCGATCTACCGGGAAGCGTGCCATTTTTATGACGGACTTTTCTTGATTCAGGGGCAGATGTTTTGTCTTCTCGGAAGCTCTCTCGCTCTGGACCTTGCAAGGTGGAAATCTGAAAAGGTGGAACATTGGGACACAAGCTGCAAACTGATTTTTACTTGGAAAGCAAGCTGCAAATTATATATTCGAGCTGGGAAACTGGGAAACTGAGTGCGAGAGCATAGAGATTTATGAGGAATTAATCAATTCGATTAGAAGTCAGTTAAAAATATCTCGAAAGATGTATTTCAATACAAGATAGAAGATCTAATTTCAATATTTTATTCACGATGAATTAGTCAAATCGATTAGATTATTAAAATTAAACAATTTGTATGTCTTTCGATTAAAAAAATCCTTTAAACTCTATTTATTGGAATAGAATGCCGAAGAATTAAGGACAAATCCAAATCCAAACGCAAATGCAATATCTTTTTGAATATATAGACAAACTTTTTTTTACAGATGTCCATATGCCATTACTAGGAATTAATTCATTAGACATTCTTAAATCCTTATGATTCGGACTGTTTTTAAGTACGCCATAATAGATCTATATGGTGTTTAACTGAAATTTCTATTAGATTAAAATAAATTACTCAAATATTAATATATATCTAACATTTCTAAAAATGTCTCTTTCGCTAAGGAGCCTGAAAACATTTTTCTTGGTATTGGGCTGGCATTTTCCAACTAGCTCAGCTAATGAGTGGATGATATATCACCTGCTTTTCAGGCAGCTGCAATTTCGCCTGGATTGTCGAAAGTCACTTTTCAATTATGCATATGTATTTTGCTAAATGTGTTAAATGTGATTTTTTATTCATATGAATTAGAAATCTGAACATAAAATAGAGATAGATCTGTTTGTATATTATAATCAAAAAGCATGAAAATACTTTGATAAAATTTAGTGGTTTAGTTTACTACTACAGTCGAGTCTCGATACTTTGTACGCCGCTTAATCAAAATATTCTTTAGTTTGTAAAATTCCATATATTTTGACCCTCTCTTTACTTCTTCTTCACAACTCATAAAATATTAAGCCTCTTATGAATTGAAATTGTGTTTAGTTCGTAACCTCTTATAATTTTACATAGGAAACTGAAGCATCAGAAACATGCTCAATACCCAAATGCAGAAAAATCTGTACTCTTCTGCTTTACGCAATGCCGTGAGAGTTCTTATGAATTTATTATAATTTTATTTACTTTTCAATGTAAAATTAATATGAAAAAACGTACAATTGAATGTGCTTAAATATTTAGTTAAATTCAATTTATTAAGTATACATGATGAAAAATAAAATAATTTAATTTTTCTTTTTTCAGCCTCATTTAATGATGAACTATAGAAGTTGTTTAGTTAATTTTATTGAATAATGTAGTCATTTTACAAGTTGTTTCAAATTGTTATTAAAATATTGTGGTTTCTTATTAAATTTGGTTGTCCAGTCGCACCGATATTTCTATGAGCCCAGCTGTATATACAGCGACGAACTAAATTATTGGCACAGCAAGGTTTTCAATATTGATGGCAATTTTTCAAGTATTTTGAAACAGTTTTTTGGTGAAACAAGAAATTAACCAAATAAAATAGGGAATTTTTTAAATTATACAAAAATAAATATTCCGAAAAACTTCATCGTACATTTTTTAAAAATTCAATAACCAAAAAAAAAAAAAACCTCGATTTTGCTGAACAAAATTATTGGCACACTTAGTATTTTGTTTTTAACAATTTGACCGATTGGGCAAAATCATTTTGGCAATTTCACTATATGTTATGTTTCTTTATTTAAAGCTTCGCAAATTTGAATTTTAATATAGAAAATGTTGTAAGAATTCAGCATATTTTGTTACTTTTCTTAATAATGACACCTAAGCTAAAAGAGACATCGATAGCTCAGAGGAAAATTATCCTGCATTTGAATGATCAAGGCAAATTTTATGCATAAACTATAGAGATAATGGAAACCGATTTTCTATTCGAAGCTATGTGCAGCGCTCTAAGGAAGCCCGTAATCTGCTAAGTTCATAAACATACAGGTCGCCTTAAGTTGTTGAACAGCCATGAATGCAGGAAAATCGTTCGAAAGGTGCAAGTGAATCCCAAAATAACATCTACCCAGATTGCTGCTGAAGCTACAAAAGAAATGGGGAAGGATATGCACCCGATTACGATACAAAGAGTACTGCACAAGGCCAAATACAAAGTGCGTGTGGCTAGACGAAAACCGTGCATCAAAGGTGCTTATAAAAAGAAGCGTTTGGACTACACTAAGGAAAATTTTAGCAAGCCATCTGATTATTGAAGTCAAGTCTTCTTCTGTGATGAGTGGAAATTCAATATATTTCGATCGGATGGGCGTTAAACTGCTTAGAGAATGCAGAATACTTCGTTTCACAAAATCAAAATTACGCCAAGCGTTAAGCATGGTGGTTGTGGGGTGATGGTCTGCTGGGGTTGCATATCTGTTGCTGCTGTGCCCGAATTGGTATTTGTAGACGGTATAATGGGCAAACATTTGTATCTAAATATTTTGAGTGATAACCTTTAAAAAAATTCTGAAAAGCTACAACTACCAAGCTCGTTCACATTTCAACATGACAATGACCCCAAGCATTCTGCCCATATCGTCAAAATATGGCTACCGCACCCACCACTATCTCCAGACTTAAATAGAATTGAACGCTTGTGGAAAGAATTGGAGAGGCGCATCTCAAATCGGGTAATAACAAAACAAGCCGACCTAAAACAAGCTCTTATTGAGGAATGGCAACGTTAAAAGACATTTACAAAATTGCTTTAAAGTTTAAAAAGCTTGCTGTGCCAATAATTTAGTTCGTCACTGTATATTATAATTTGCATAACAAATGTATGTCAAAGGAACTTTAAAAATAGAACCCTGCATAATTATCTCAATAGTTTTCTAAGGAAATATTATAATAATGTCCTTAACCCAATAAACTTTGCAGCGCATTTCAAAGCTGGCGAAGTTTAGTCAAAGAAAACGAGAGAAAACAAGTAAGAAGACTCTAGTCGAGACTGCTCGACTAGGATATACCCTGAACCCTCTAATCTGATATTCTAGTCAGTCTGCACTTCTTTTCGACACACATACATACACACGCACGTATTAGAACGCGCTCTGCTAACTGCGCAGTAAGCAGCGACTGCGCTTGTGCTGCGCTGCAGTGTGGGCAACATTATAGGGATTTATTTGTTGAATATTTTAATTTCTAGACGTACAATCTTAAAGAAACTTTCAGAACATAATCATAATATTCAAATGTATGCACATTCCAAAGCACAAGTCTCTAGTACTTGAAATACGCCTTTTACAAAGGTGAGGGTGAGGGGGTGGATATAGGGGTGGGGGGTAAATTACAAAAAAAATCGAAATTGTATAAAGTGCATATAAGTCTACATATAAAATTTGGAAGCTCTAGCTCTAAAGGTGTAGGAGGTATAATTAAATAACTAGCTTTCGATAAGGTTTTTGATCGATAATAAATTATCGGGAGTAGTTATCGATATAAAAAGAAAAACTTGATATGCGCGTGATATACACGGACCTAGGAAAAAAAATTTCAAGTCTCTAGCTCTTATATCTTCTGAAATCGACGCGTTCATACATACGGACGGACGGACAGACAGACGGACAGGGCCAAATCGACTTAGCTCGTCGCCCTGATCAATAATATATATACTTTGTGGGGTCTGCCACGCCTCCTTCTGTCTGTTACATACTTTTAACAAAACCATTATACCCTGATTTCCCATTGAAAATGGGTTCAGGGTATAAAAAACAATTGTAGCGAGTGGGGTTAGCTCTTCGGCGCATGTTCCACTCCACACAAGAAGAAAAGTTGGAAAAGGAAAGAAAAAATATACAGAACGTGGACACAGTTAAGCCGAAATTGAGGACAAGCCAACGCAGCCACCACTAAACCTCCCTTCGGCCACCCAGCAGGAGCAGCAGCAGCCACCGTAGCAGCGCTGAATCGCAATGGGCTGGACACTAAATGCGTAGCTGCGTAAACGTCGCTCTAAAAGGGAGCAAACGAAAACGAATAGGCAAGCTGTTGTGTATGTGTGTGTGTGTGTGTGTGTGTGTGTGTGTGTGTGTGTGTGTTTGTAATGCTCTTAAACGCACACATACACACAGCCAGCTGCATACAACGGTACAAGTATATAAAGAGAGCTCAACCCGGAGCGAATACATAGCCAAAAATCATACATAAACAGTTCGTAAGGACCGTAGAAAGGGCGTGTTGTAACTGTAGTTGTTGTTGTTGTTGCTGCAATCAATCAATAGCAATGTTCAAAGTACCGAAAGAAGCTCTGTTAGAAGAAGAAGCAGAGAGCACGTAGCTACACATGTAAATCTCGCTGAACATACGGTGAAAGCAAACAAGACTAAAAATCAAAACAAAAAAGAAAGTCACACGACAGACATCAGCGCATATGCACGAAGAGAGCAAAAGTCGGGCCACCTCGCCCATAAGACCGAGCGAGTGCGAGCAACAGATCGCAACTAATTCAGAAATGAGACAAAAAATGACAATGTCAAAACAAAGCAAAAACTAGAAAATAGTAGGAAGATGAAATACCCTGTGATATGTATACATCCTAAAGTTACATTAACTTTTTTTGTGAACATACAAATAAAAGTTAATAAAAAACAATAAAAATGGTTATTTGTTTAGTTTATTAAAAATATAATAGTATGCATTACTCATATATGGGCAAAATATGCTGGCCCTATAAGGTGGGCTAAAACAATATGTACATAGTATTGAGCTGTGAACAGTAATCGAGTGGCTAAAAATGCAAATGCATGCGTGTGTGTGTGGGTGTGTGTGTGCGTCCAACTGCTGCTGATAACGGCAACTCTCAGCGTAGGAAACATAACAGAGAGCTGGCGAGAGATCACACAAACACTTTATGCAGACAGCACTAACAAGTCAAGTACAACAAATACCACGACAAAATTAATGAAGATCGCAGAAAAAAAGAAATAAAAAAAAAAACCAATGCGAATTGCGGAAGAGAAGATGTCATGTGGCAAGGCCGGCACTCCAGCCGGCCAGTTGATATGCACATACATATGTACATATGTATGTATACACAATGAAGCTTTATTTTTGAGCACATGTTATTGCATTTTAAACTGGTCAAGCCCCACGCTCGCTTCCCCTCTGCCTTTCGTCATCCATCACTCGCCACACTTGAGCAGACGAGTAAGCAACTCAGGTACTTGTATGATCGTTGCTCTCAGAGAGGCGAATGGCCCGTCGTCACAGGAAGTGGGGAGCCAAAAAAAAAGTATTGTAAAAAGAGAGTGAGACAGAAAATATGTAATCCAAGGCAAAGCAACAAGAACAGAAACTATGGAGAATGCGGCAGCTGTCACAAAAGCAATCGCCGTCTGTCTGCGGCAGCTGCATACCCAACCTATAGCAACAGCTCAAACGGCGGGAGAGCCAACGGAATGCAGCATACACGAAGGCCGGCACGACTACCTGCTTGGCCAGAGAGAGCACAGAAACAGAGAGAGTTCTGCACATTCTTCAATGGAAAAATGGCAATAAAATTCAACATAAATCCAGCGTAATTAAAGCGGGCGCGTGTGTGCCGGTTAATATTGTTTGCATTAAACAGCATTAACTTTTATGGTGCACGAATCAAATCGCTCAATTTGATGAAATGCCGCAGAGCGATAATTGTTAACATTGGAAATGTAGTAGCTTTAGTAAATATGCCAACATTTTGTGGCTTTCAAATATTCTCGTCTCCAGTAATTATTGCAATTAATATTGTGTACAAAACAGTAAATAAACAACAAATTGCATGCAGACAAAAATGATTTGTTATCTTATCGCATTTATTTCAAAACACATTGCTACGTTGCAGTGCAATGCCGAGATAGTGATGCCACCACAATCAAATGTTTGAAATTGCAATTTTATTCAAACTCATAATACTCTGGCAGCCTTGCATATTGAGGCACTGTTAGGCGGAGAGGAGAGAGCCAACAAACGAACCGGAAGTGAACGAGCAGGACATGTAAAAAGGTTCATTTCGCTTAGGTAGACGAATACAACGGATAAGAAGATAGGCAGAAATATGACATACATATGTACATACACACGTATGCAGGTCTACTTTTCGCAGCGTAAAAGAGTCAGTGTGTACACACTATGTGCGTGGAAGTTTGTAGCTTAGCAGCGCGCGCATATGACAACTTTTAGCGGGACGCGACTGTATGCACGCGCTTTGTTGTATTGTTGTTGTTCCTTCTGCTGCTGCTGCCGTGAACGCTACAGAGCAGCTTGCAAGTGTTTGCCCTCTTCTTTCCCCTCTTTTTCACGTTTCGAAGCAGAGGCAAAATGGTAGTTTGTGTACATATATAAGAGAGAGAAAGAAATGAAAAACAGACGGCAACTCGATTTACCCACGATGCCAGCAAAACGAAAAAAACAAATTATATGCATACATATGTACATACACATATGTTTTATGTGTAAAACGTAAATATTCCTATGATCTTACTGTAATATGCTTGCCGTTTACCGCTTACTCTTTGACTAGAATATTGTTGTTGTTTGTTGCTTTAAAAAAAGAGCACATTTGATGCTAACGGCAAAAAAAATACAAAAGCCCCAAAGCATGAATTAGAAAAAAAAAAAACGTTGCAGAGCGACTATGTTGTTGGCTTGACAACGAGGGGGGCGGTAGCGGTGCCACATACATACATACATATACACGACGCACACAAACACAAACGCGCTTCGTTCACTCACACGCATTCGTCATCGACGCTAGCAGCGAGTAGCGGCGGCCTCAGTGAACGAGGACGTTGTGAATGTGTCTGTCTGTGTGTGTGTTTATGTATTTCTCTCCCTCTATCTATGTGTGAGTGCGCGCGTACGTTTTCAGCGGCTCGTTGCCATTTTTGCTTTGGTGTTGTCGTCTCTGCTCTTACTGCTACAGTACACAGCAAAATTATGCTGACTGCTCGAGAAATGTGCACAATCATTAAATATATGTATACATATATGTATATATATATATAATGGGAATTTTACAAGCGTAACGAAAGTCTGTTAGCAGTCTATTTGTTTTTTTAATGCGGTGTATACTTTTCGTACGTACTGTATAACAGAGTTCGTTTGTTTTGTATGGCAATGTTACTAATACATACAAAGAGATTCTCAAACTGTTTTTGTTGTAAACATCACTTTATTGCACTTTCAATGCACTTCAAATTTTTATTCTTTTTTAAATTTAGTTTTATACGCAATTTCAGACCGTTTAGTACACCAACAAACAACGACAGTGGAAAAAAAAAAGAAAAAACATACAGCGAGTAACTGCTACAGTTACTCAAAAATGCTGCCCTGTTACTCGTTGTCTTTTCGCCGCACACTCATACACACATATACTACATTCATACGTCTAGGTACGTAGTAAATGATGTGTGCAATACATAAAAAAAAATTGTAAATAAAATAAAAAAATTTTAAGCATTTTGTTTTACTAGAATGAAATGCAATAGCTACGCATGTTACTTTTTTTTAATGATACGATTTACTCGAGAAAAAAAAAACATAATTTTTGTGCAATATTTGTTTTGCGTATATATTTCACAATGTCTGCGTGTTTTCTTTTTTCCCATTTTCTCTTTTCGTCGATTAACATTTTTTTTTTCAGCTTCTTTATATACACTTCACGTCACGCTGAAACCCATTGTGGGCCCTAGTACATACACACACACATACAATATGTATGTACATGCACACGCATGTGTCTGTATACGAATGTGTGTGTATGTATATTATGTTGTTTCTTTAGGCAGGCTTTATGCTTCGATTACACGTAAATGTCTCTTGGCTTCGACGATTAAACGCATACGAAAATATATTGCATTGTGTCTTAGATTGTAAAGAAAGAAAAAAAAAAAAAAAACAGAAAAAAAAACCAAGAAAAAGCAGTACAAGTGGAGAAAAAAGGTTACCAGAAAAAAATGCACTGCGCGCGGCGCTACAAATTTCCTTCACAGTTCACAGCCGACAAAATGATACTGAAAGCGTGACCGACTTGAGCATTGGCAAAAAAGCAGCGATTGCTATGCCACTGCAGAGTGAACTAAAACGGCCACACTGCACACTGTTAAGCTTTATTTATCGCTGTTATTTATCGATAGATTTAGTAAACTTTACAAAAAAACAGGTCTGCAGAGTTTTGCAAGGTACACTGGTAGCTTATAAGCAAACTATTCAACCATAGCTAAGAGCTGAGCTTTATTTGCTATCAAAAAGTATGGTACTTCAAACTGAAGATATATATAATCTCTGAACGAAACCAATTTACAGCCTGTAAACGCACAGTATGCCTTCTGTTAACGCCGCGTTCAGTCAGTTAAATTGCTGCCACACTGTCAGCAGTTCAACAGCTGACAACACTGATCTTTAAGCAAACGGTGCACGTCATTGCGCGCGCATTTTCAAAATTACATTTTGTAGATGGATTAAACAAATGCAAGCAGTTCACATTTCAGACTTCTTTAATATATACACACATACCTATACATGTGCATATACATATACATATACATATATAATACTTAAAACTTTACGTTTATTTCGTATGCTACAGATTGTTGAATACTACTACAATTACGACTAAGCTTACAATCGTTAACAAACGACTAATATATAAATGTTTTTGAGTTTGTATCAGTACGTAGGCGCTATATATATATTTATCTGTATATATAAGAGTATCCTTATCAACATAGAAAAAAAATAGTCTGCATATATATTAATTATACATATATATATATATATCTATGCTAAAAAAAAAAAAACAATTTTTATAGTTATAATGTACAGTTACATAGCAGTCCAAATCCGATTTTTGTTTTGTATTAGCTAAAAATAGCAACAAACCGATAAAGCTATACAAATGTAACATTTGCTTTCCATATCCTAGTGTGTGTGTGTGTGTATGTGTGTGGATTCGGGGCATATGGGTGTGGGAGGGGCTGTTGTATGTCTTATTTCAGAGGTCAACAGGGACGTGGGCGTGGGCGAGGGGGTTTGGGGCTGGGGCTGATTTGGGCAGTTCATTGATAAACATAAACATAACGCTACAAGTCTTTTTACATTGAAGGGCTTATTGCAAGGCAACGGGGCGCATACATTAACGGCTTTTGGTAAGCCGTATTTGCAGTTGTTGTTCGTGTTGTTGCTTTATTTCCGGACTGCTACCGGGCATATTTTATAGCATTCCCAGTATTCTCTCAGGCATGCACATTTGCTTCCTCACCAGTATTTTGTGCACACATGAACATTTGCTCATTTCCCACTATTCGGAACGTTGCTTCTTGACCAGTATTTGTCGCATACTGTAACATCGGCTTTCTACCAGTATTTCTAGCTTTCAGGGTCTGCAGTGCACCCAGTATTTTCGCACAGTATTTTGTGTGCATATTAACGTTTGATCTTTTCCCACTATTCTGTCATACACGTATGTTCGCCTCCTGCCCAGTATTCGTCGGCTTTCTACCAGTATTTTTAGCTTTCTGTGTTTGTTCGAGCATTGTCCCTTGTTTCTCTTTTCGTATGTGTGTGGTGAATGTTTTTCTTTTTCTCAATGAGAACAGTATTCTCCCAGTATTATCAGAATCTCCATCTAGTTGCGATTGCGATGACCGCCGCCGCCTCCCCGATTCCGATTACCCATAAAATGCCGGCCGCCTCCCTGATTGTTGCCACCCGGTCCGAAGTTCTTGAACGGCCCACCTGGCCCGAGCCCTGGTCCCGGTCCTGGTCCAGGCATTCCATTGCCACCGCCACCACCACCGCCGCCGCCGCCTCCGCCGCCATTGAACGCCACGCCCAGGTTGTTCATATTCATGCCATTCATGTTGTTCATGTTATTCATGTTATTCATGCCGTTCATATTCATATTCATATTGAGGTTACTCAAGTTGTTCAGGTTGTTCAGATTGTTGAGATTATTCAGATTCAGATTGTTGCCGGCGAACGGATTGAACGGATTGTTGTTCATCACGCCCACGCCCACGCCCACACCCATGCCGTGGGGCGGCATGCCCAGGATGCTGTTCGAGCGCTGGGGCGGCGGCTGATTGAACTGCGGCATGCCCATGCCCATGGGCATCATTCGGCCGACATTGGGTGGGGGCTGTTGGAGCATTTGGATAAGATTCGGCGGGGGCTGGGACATGTTGGGCAGAATGGGCGGCAAGTTGGGCACCACCACCGAGGCGACATTCTGGGGCGGCTCCTCGGGCAGCTGAACGACCAGGCCGTTGTCATCGATGTAGATGTGCAGCTTGGCGAAGATCTGCTGCAGCGTCTGGTTGCTCACGATGAAGCTCACGTCGAAGATCTTGTTGGGCGACTCCTGCTGATGGAACTTCTTCAGCTCGGTGAAGACCAGGGCGAGCTGTTGATTCACCATGATCTTGTTATTGCTGCCCAGCTGCTTGTACCAGTTGGAGCTCTGCAGCAGATTGCGTATCTCGGAGATCTGGCGTCCGCTATCGTTGAAGGAGCCGGAACCGGAGCCGGAGCTGGTGCCGGTGCCGGTACCGGTACCGGAGCCGGATGATGATGATGATGTCGATGTCGATGTCGATGATGAAACGTTGGCGCTGCTGACATTTAAATGCGCTCGGCGCGGATCACGACGCGGATCAGTGCGACGCGGATCACCGCCAGTTGCCACGGCTGGCTCACTGCCGGACGAGGCGGCGGCGGCAACGGCGCCAGATGTGGAGGCGTTGGCTGCAGTCATGGGCGGTGGCACATTCATGGCGGGCAATGAAGTTAGTACGGCAGGCGGCGGCGGCGAACTGGGCGTCGACTCCAACCGTTGAGTATCGGGCGAGGCGATGCAGTTGCTCGTCTTGCGCTCGCGACGCTCCGTGGAGAAGCCAGACGCCGTACTGAAGCTGGTGCTGCCATGGCCACGGGTCAGAATTGAGCTAGCGCCACCGGCCGCATCGTCGGTTAGCTCCGGCAGGCCGAGGATGCGGCGCACGCGCGGATCACGCACCTCGCGCTGCTCCTTGTGGCTGGCGCTCTGACGCAGCTGCGAATAGCAGGGCGGCTCCACCAGCACCTCCTGCATCTGCCAGCGTATCGGGATGTGCGAGAAGATGGCCGCATCGATCTCGGTGGCGGGCAAGTAGTGCTTCATCGGCTCGAACGGCAGTCGCATATCGATGTCGCGATCCCGTTCGCGCTTCTGGGCATTCGCGCGCGCATCCTCCAGCGCCGCCTTGGCCGGCTCGTAGTCGTACATGGAGCGACGCGCATAGAGCGAGACGGTCGTCGCATCGGACGCGCCCAGCGATGAGGCACTCGAAGCGGGAAGCTGATCCCCGCCCCCGCCCAGTCCCTTGGGTGATTGCGAGCCCGGCTCGGGCGTCGGGATTGGCGTCATGGAGCGGGAATTCGAATTGGAATAGTGGACGGCATCCAAGAAGCTGTAGCTGTCGCTAGTGGCATTCGCATCATGGCTCTCGCCATCATCAGTCGCCGCATTGTCGCCGCTGTTCGCTCTGAATGGATTGTAGAAGGAGCTAAATATCAGCTTATTAAAGAGTCCGCCTCCAGACCCCGGCGACTTGCTGCCCGATGCGGGCGGACTGCTCTCCCGGTGCGGGTCCGGTGTGCTGGGCGACGATGCAACCGGCGCGGCAGCTGCAGCTGTCGCCAGCGTTGACTTCTGGCCGAGCATGTTGCTCATGAAGGTGGGCAGATCGAACACGGATGGCAGGGGCGGCGCATCCTCGTCGATGTCCGACTGGGATAACGGTTTCTTCTCCTCATCCTCACTGGCACGTTTCGATTTCTTTGACTTGGCGTCCGACTCAGACTCGTCGCCTTCCTCCTCCTCGTTGCCATCGTCGATGACCAGCTGCTCGTCGTCCTCTTCGCGATCATCGTCCACTGAAAACAAAGAAGAGGAGTTTCAATGAATGTTAAGAGAATGACAAATGTTAGTTAACAGCATTGCTTTATAGAAAAATAGTAGAGAGCTATTAACAGCCTCATCACTGTTAGCTAACAGCGCGCTGTTAGCTTTGTATGGTTAACATATTGTATGCATTTTACATCACTACCCAGCAAGCATTTGGAAGACTGTTTTAACAGAAATCGTCTTGATGAGTCTTCTTTGAGTCCCCTTGACGATTAAAAAACGACTAGTCTCCCGGGCGATCGAAAGAAGACTCATAAATGACCCTTCCATATGCTCAAAGTATGATTACTTTAAAATACAAAAACGAAATGCAAAGCAATCGCCAAATGAGCATGCAGGTGATTAAAATATGATCATTGCTTGGTTTTTCTTTGTTCCTATGCAATCATATTCTGCTCGCTTGGCTGATCGAAAATCGATTCTTATCTAAGCTTATATCTAAGTTAAACGGTACTTTTTCTTAAGCACAAGCCGAAATGTGCAAATTTTGTCATTCGAGCGTGAAAGTGCAAGTGAAGTGCAAGTGCGAAGTGCATACAAATAAATTATATCAATTATATCAAATACAAATAAAAAGGTGATTATGTCAGTCAAACAATTACGTCGAGTGGCCAAAAGAGAAGCATATAAACTATTATTTTGTTAGAGCTGCGATCAGAAAAGTTTTTTCGGACAAGGTAGCTTCCGAATACAGCTGGAAGGCGACAAAAATTAAACCATCAGCAGAAAGGTGTTACATTATAGCCGTAATAAAAAGTATGTATTATTTTGGAAAATATTTATAATATTTTTTATTAATTAATATTTTCCCATTTAGATATTGCTAATGAAAAATTTACATGCACGGATAAGGATTTACATACGGTGCTACAAAAGCATTTTGTCCATGCCAATGACAAACTGGCAAAGCGTAGGCGCTTAGAATAATATAAAACATACTTTCTATTTCTGTTATTTTTTGTTTTGAATTTCTATATTTTGTTTTGTATCAATTAACTTTTTTTTGCTGTTATTTTTTAAGAAAATATAGATATATTAAATGAAATTTATATCAAGAAAAAAATTCTTTTCATTGCAAATTATTGAAAATTTCAATCGAATATGAGTCAAAAAATGATTAAATTATGACTCGTGGAAGACTCTTTTATGATTAAAAGATGATTCGTGGAAGACACTTTTATGATTAAAAGATGACTCGTGGAAGACTCTTTTATGATTAAAAACAAGAGTTATAAACGACTCATCAAGAAGAGTCGCGGGTAGGGTACCATTTTCTCCCGACAGAACAGTCTTTTATGATCAGAAAATGAGCGCACATATGACTGTTTTCAATCATCGCGCGAGTCTTTTAAGACTAACTTATGCTCTGTTAAACGCAAAAATGCTTGCTGGGTATTAACAGACTAACAGCATAACACACTGTAAACAGCGTACTGTTAGCTTTATATGTTAAGTAGCTGTTAAGATCATACAACTCTACATACACCAATCCCATCTTTATAGATAACCCTTTAAAAGCTGTTCCTCAGGTCGTCTACTTACGCGGATCGCTGCCTGGAAAGTTGACATGGGCATCCTTCAGATACTGTGTGTAGTCGACCATGATGAAGCCGTTATTGCTGTTGCTATTGCTGTTCGAGCTGAGAACGGTGTTCAGGTTGCTCGAGTCCTGATCCGTCTTACTGGTTCTGCCATGGATACATATAAGGAATGGATACATTAATAGATACCCTATTAAGCTGATTAGAATGGGCATGCTCACTTGGTCTCCGTCGTCGGTGCGGCGGCTGCTGTTGCTGACTGAGGCTTGGCCTCCTCGGCCTTGCGCTGGATCTCACCCAGCTCGGACAGCGTTAGTCCCACCTCGGTCAGCTGACCGAAGGGCACCTGAAGCATCTGCTCCAGATTCGTAATGCCCAGCTTGTTCAGCTTGGCCATGTGCTCGGCGCTGAGCACGTGCGTCAGATTCACCAAATCCAAGTGGGCGGGCAGGGGCTTAGCAGCGGCTGCACTTGGCGCAACGGGGCTTGTAGCCGTAGCAGCTGTTCCTGCTCCAGCGCTTGATCCTGTGTCTGTTCCCGATACCGTGCCCGATCCCGATCCCGTTGGAGCTGTTGCTTCCGCTACAGCTGCCGATCCAGCTGCTGCTACCGTTCCCTTTTCCGCTCCTGATTTGCTGCCCGATTTTTCGGCCCAGCGCGATTTGCGCTTCTTCTCGGGCTTGGAGTCGGCCTGATTCAGGTTGAGGGGCGGGTTGATCACCATGTCGAGCAGCGAGGGTATCACGCCACCAGCAGCTGCTCCTCCTCCTGCTGCTCCAGCTGCTGCTGTCGTCTGCTGTTGTTGCTGTTGCTGCTGCATCTGTTTCTGTTGTTGTTGTTGTTGCTGCAGCTGCTGCTGCTGCTGCTGCAGATTGGCATTGACCGCAGCAATGGCGGCCGCTTGATTGGCCGCCTGGGCAGCTGCCTTGGCCGCCGCATGCTGCTGATCCTGCAGTCGACTGATGCCGGCGCTGGCCAATGTCGTCCACGTATTGTCCATGTTGTACTGGTCGCACAGTTGCTCATGTCGTCGCGTCATCTGGTTGAGCGCAATGTCCCGTGAGATGCGCTTGAAATCGCCCAGGATCTCCTTGGGCGCCGTCTCCATGTGCTTCAGCAGAATGTTGCGCAGCTGCTCGGTCAGCGGCTCGCCGTGATGGAAGAGGCAATCCTCGCCGGCATAGCAGTCCATGCCCAGGTAGTAGTACTTGCACGGGAACTCCTTGTGCATGTAGCTGCACTTGTCGCGCTTCGCACAGCAATCCTTCAGGTAGAACTTGCACAGCTCCAGTTTGCGCGGCTCGCGTGACTTGTCATCGTTGGAGTCGCGACGATTGCGCTTGCCGCCACCGACTCCACCACCACCACCGGATCCTCCGCCACCCGCACCCATGCCAGATCCTCCACCGAGACCGGATCCCCCGCTGCCCATTCCGCCCATGGCTAAGCCTCCATCATGCCGTCTATCCATATCACGATCTCGATCCCGTTCGCGCTCCCGATCCCGTCGCTTGCGTCCGCCGCGATTATCTTTCTCGCGGTCACGCCGGTGACGTCGACGCTGCGCAGTGCCAATGGCCGCCACGTTGGCCGCCTCGTCGTCCGAGTAGGAGTCGTAGCTGCTGTAGCTCTCTGGCGGGGATTCGTAGCTCGGTTCCTCCCCCAGGCCTGGCCAGTCGCTGCCGTAGCGGAGCGCTGCGGCATTGGTTGAGCCGCCTGTGGCGCCACCTGGCGGCGGGCTGCCGCCGCGCACATTCATCATTTCGTATTCGTCCATTTCCATGTCGTCGCTGGCCCCAGCGACGCCGCCGTCATCCATCGAATCGCGGCGCGCACGTTTCTGCGAAGAAGAGCGAAAGAGTTGCGTATCGAAGCACGACTACAAAAATACCCTATAATTATGGGGTGTCCATATGCTAGGCGGACTTGCATATAAGCTTTATGGGTTCCATCATGCATAGTACAACAGTGGATACCCTGTAAATGTTAGCTGATCTGCCTATGTTATGTATCAGTAGCATAGATACCCCGTTTTTTGTTGTCAGTAAATATAGTTACTCATATTTTAGGTGCATCGCTTGCACCTTTACAATGGATACCCTTTACAATGGATACCCTGTAAATGTAAATAGCTGTTCTACCTATGGTATATACCTCTTGCTCTCTGCTATAGGGTATCATTTTTTTTTTCATAATTGTTCTCTTATACATATATACTTCCTCATTATAAAGGGTATTGCAAGTGCATCACTGTACAAATATACCCTGTAAATCTATTATGTGCACTCATTTATTTGATATTTTTGAGGACGTTGTCCAATACTAAGCCAAGAAGTTGAAGAGACATTACATAGTCGATTGGCAGATATCCTATGAATCTTACTAAAATATACCCTATACACATTGCTTTCAATCATGTAATGTTGTACTTGGGGCCTTATATTAGGTATTATTTAATATTGAATATTTAAAATTAGCAGCACAAAAATACCCTATAATTCTATTTAGAACTCAGATATATTTAAATTGGGTATATAAAATTTTTGAAGTAAAGATATATGTATATATGTACATAGTTACTGGGCAGTTCTATATCATTTCTTTTATATTCAATATTATATTAGATATGTATAAAAAATTAATATACATCAGAAATATAAAATAGATACCCTGTATACAAAAATAATATATATATTCATTATATGCAACAATTTCAGAGTATTTAATTGCTGCCATCCTTAAATATTAATAGATTCCCTACAAACATGATGTGCATATGAATTCTGGTTAATTTCTCCCAATTTACAATTACAGAGTGCATACACACACATATACACATACACTAATATGCTGCCTATCACTAACTGAGTTGGCCCAGCTTCAGGCCTCTATTGTGCTGTCGCTGGCGAAGTGGATTTCTAACGTTTCTGCTATTGCTGAATTCGCCTCGCGTTTGCTGCCAAACCAATCGATTGCATTCAATTCGCCTTGCGATTTACGCCGCGAAAGCGAAGCGAAAGGCGGAATTAGCGTCGCTTTAGCACACATTAGAAGGCGGGGGGCCAACGGACGAGAGGGCACCGTTAGCTTAAGGCAACGACCTACCTGATGTTCCTTGTCTTTCTTCTGCTCGCGTTCGCGTTCCTTTTTGCGCTTGCGTCGACGGCTGCTGCGACTTGCCGCCGGCTGCTGCTGTTGTCCCCCAAGCTGCGAGCTATCGAGGCCGATGGCAGCGCTGCCACTGTCACCGATGGCGTTGGCAGCGCTGTCGGCGTCACTGTTATTGTTGTTGCTGTTATTGAGCTTGGGCAGGGGCGGCTCAATGCCCCCCTTCTTGAGCGCTTTGGCAATGGCATTTTCAATGCTGACCGCATGATCATCTGTGAGAGGATGGTGGGGGTGTTTGGGGTTGGAAAAAGGGGGCGCAGTTAGAAAAGGCGTGACAGAGCAGAGCAATAAATATAAGCAAATCCCGTTGATGTTTACCTTCGAGTGGGCGTGGCTTCTTGGATTTGCTATTGTTGGGGTTTGGCGTTTCGCTGGCCATGCCCAGAAATATGACGTCATCGTCGTGCTTCTCGTTCAGGCGCTCAATGCCCACAAATTGGACCTCATCGTTGGAGCCGCAGCCCTTAAAGGCCGTTGGCTTTGATTGTTGTTGTATTTGACCTTGCTGCTGCTGCTGCTGCGGCAGCGGCGGCTTTTGTTGCTGTTGCTCATCCTCATCATCATCATCGTCGATCTCGCCATCCTCGAGATCTTCGGCTAGATTTATTAATGGCGTTTCGCCAGCCACAACGGATGACATATTGCGTTTAGGTTTCGAATTGAGCGAAAAATACTGCAAGAGATATTTAATCGAGGGATTTAGCTAAGCCAGGAGCAGGTCCGATCACAACATTCGACATATATTATATATTGGACGCATATGCATAAAGATTCAAACGAACCGCTGACCACAGTACGGCAAATACACATGTTGCTCGCCTCATTGGCAAGCAACATGTTGCTAAGTCGAAGCGAATCATTGCAGGCACAAACATCAAAAGCAAAATATATATTAAAAAAAAAAAAGTTACATGAAGAAACAACGCTCCATATACTAAACCACATAAACACAAACCCACACACACACACGTACGCGTGATGTGTAAGCAATGTTTTGTCACACATTCACTATTGCACAGCATGCATACTTTCATAGTCGCAGTTTAGCTTTCCATTCACTTAGCACATAACATAGCCCTGTTAAACGCAGAATGTTGCCAGCAACATTATGCACGCACACAGACACTTGTTGCTTGGCCTTACAAATAGATATATATACTATATATATAAAGAGAGGGAAAGAGAGGTAGGAAGAAATCTGCTTACATACAACATGTACAATATTTATGTGATTGATTCATAAAAATGTCTCAATTAAATTAAACAGCATTATTAAATGCGTATTTACGCATTAGCATATTGCAGTTAACGCCGTTATATATAACTGTTATTTGTTTGTATATATGTATATGTATGTATGCATATATAAATATGTTTAATGCACGTTTTTGAGGCCAGCAAAAAAAATACAAAAATGACATACATACATACATGCATAACATATTTTTGCAAAATTCTTGTAGCCCCCTTTAACACAACACACATACACATACAGGCGCATTCATACAAGCATGTGTAAGCGCAAGCAGTAAGCGCCGCTCTGACACGCTCTCCATTCTGGCTGACATATCATGTTGTCTCGCTTGCGCGCATAGCCTAAGCATAAAACGCAAATGCGTGACACACGTACATACAATACACACGAGTGTGAATGCGAGCGTACATCTGATTGTGTGCGCGTGTGTGTGTTTTGGCTAAAGCGTTCGAAATGCATATTTGATATGCATTTGTACATATATATATATATAGATACAGATACAATAACAGTTATAAATTATATTATAAAAATTACACTTTATACTTGTCGCTTTTGTTGTTGTTGTTACAAGTTGCCACATTTTCAGAGCCACGCTGGGCGAAAGTTTTTTTTCTTTACTGCCGCTGCTCGTCTCTATATACTATGATTGTAAAAAAAATTGTGAGTGAGCGGGCGAGTGTGTGTATATGTGTTTGTATGTAATGCGACGCCCCGCATGACACACGAACGAAAAAAGAACGCTACAGCAATGGCCGCTGTGTACCTTTTCATATGAACATGCACAAATGCATGCCCGTGTGTGTGTATATGCTATGTATGCGAATGCATGTATGTATGTGCGTATATATGTATACGCATGTACACAGAGCGGGCCCCGTAAGAAATTTTTCTTGTTAAAGTTAATATTGTAAAGAAAAGAAAAATGGGGAGAATTCCTTGTTAGTTTTTCTTTGCGTTAAGCTGTTTTTTTCTCTCTTCTTGGATTGTTGTTTGACTAGGGAAATGCGGGCGTGGTTGGCAACAAAAACAAAAACGAACAAGAATTTGTTGCGAAAAATTTGAAAAATATAGTTTTGTGCTAGCTTTTTTTGTTGTTTGTTGTTGTTTTTGGAACAATTTCTCTTACGTTTCAGCGTGGGCGTGGTTTGTGGTTACGGAACATTTACAAATTACAGTTATTAATGGTTTATAACATTTCTGTTCAATTTCGTTGCTTTGTTGGTTATATTTTGGTTTTGTCGATTGTTGTTTCCCATTTTTGGGTTGATTTTTGTCTTTTTTTGTTTGCTTTGCTTTTGCGTTTTCTTTTTTTCTGCTTTTGCTCGCTTGGCGTCGTAGAGTTCCCGCTGCTTACATAATGAAGTGGTACAGTAGGTGAATAGATATGCATATATGTATATAAAATATGTGAAGGTATATATATATATATATATATGTACATATACTAGCATACACACATATACATATGGCTATAGCGCAATATGCGTGTGCAAACACACATATACGTATAGCATTTATCGTATGCATATATGTATATATTTATATATATGTGGTATATCTGTATGAGAAATAATTATTTCTTGTTTCTCATTTTTTTTTTTTTTTTTTTTTTGTACATTATATGCAAGCTGTCGCTCTCTTTTTCTCTGACTGTGGCCCTGGCCTCTGTATATGTCTGTCCCTTTCTCTCTGTTTCGCTCATAGACAGAATAACAAATACATTAAATAATTAAAAACTCGTCAACATGAGCGTTGTTAACAATTCAACAATATCTACTTGAATGATTCGTGAAAAGTGCAATCGTATACCACGGACACAAACCAGGGCTGCAAGCTCTAGAGGTGAATTTTGGTATATAGTTTTATTTCTATAAAAAGCTGGCAACACTGACTGAGCCCAATTTTGTATGTCAAATTTTAGCATGACGTTTCTACGAGACGCTTGCAACTGATTTTCCCAATGAACAAAAATGGCAATATATATGTCGTATCAGTTATATCAAATCTGGACTGTAGCATTGTCGATATTGAATTTACAGGCTTGGCGCCACTAGTTTTTAAGTTACATGTTTGGCAGCATTGCCATCGCTGCCCCTGGTGAAATTTGGTCTTTCGATAGGCAGCACAGTTGCGAAAAGAATTCCGCAAATTTGTGTAAACATTATGACACCTATGCAGAAATCTTGATTTATGCTGATATACACAAAACAAGTTGATATATATATATACGGTATTTGGGTTGAGGTGGTCAGCATTGCAGATAACATTATCTTACCTTAGACATAGGCTTAGACCACTCTTTATATCAATGCGCTTGCTAAATATAACTTTTTGTGCTTCAATACAAATAATAATTATTTTTATTTTTGGGAATATTTTTGTTTGTTTTTTGAAAATTGTCCTGCTGCGATGCATGTAACACAGTAATGAACATTGATTTGAAAGTACATAAGTACATAAGTTGCTTTTTTTGACTTGAGTGAAAAGTCAAGGCAAGATTCTAACTTTAATATTTTATTTGAAATGCAATCGAAATCGATAGATGATTGCCGATAAGATTGGTGTGACCGTGTGAGTTGCGGTATAGAACAGGGGTGCACAATTCGATAGCGTGTTGAATTTGTTTTTACTTTAATTAGAGTTTATTGTAAGCATAAATACTATTCATAAACTTGATTGCAGTTGCATATTTTTCACTTTTACATCGGATGAGCTGTATGCGCTCACAAGAACTGTAGTAGTTGTATTGGAATTGTAAGTGAAACCGATCAGCTCTAATCGATAGTGAGAGTGTGACCATATGCGCTGATTTGAGATTTTAGCAAAGGTCACATTTCGTGATCGCGTGCTGGATTTATTATTTTTTTTGTTGGTAACATTTTGGAGCAAATGCAGGCCGTGTTAATGCATTTAATTGCATTTAAGCGATACAAATAGCAATATAGTGCGCGCGCGCACGTTTGTATGCGTGTGCGTGCCCTGGCGGTCCGAAGCTGTGCCAGCTGCTGCTGCTCTCCACATCATTGAGTTTTTGGACTTCCCCCGATCAGCTCGTGCAATGCAGACTCAACTTGATAATCTGCATTTGGATGATTTGCCCTATATCGAACGTGATCTTAACTTGTCACAAAAAGTAAGCATATATACTATAACTCTATAATTCATATTCTATATACGACATTTGTTTTTAGGTTTCCCTGGCCTTTCTACTTTTCGGAGATCAGCACGCCTTAGCCACCTACATATTGCAGAGGCTGTTAGCGCTGATGCGAGCACCGCCAGCGGATCAGCTTCACAGTGATCTACTGCGTCAGTACGCCCAGACGAATCCGGCCAACTGGCGTGGCCATCTGATCGAGGCGCTCTGCATCATTAACGCACGCCAAGTGCTCCGCAATTTGGGCTTTTGCTGGGCTGAGCTGCGCCTGCACTATTTACCCCATGTCCTGGAGCTGACGCTGCACGTGCATCCGCTGCTGAAGGCCCTGTACAATGTTTGCGAACAGCTGACGGTGGCGCAGAGCGGGCGCCTCGTCCTGGACATCAACGATAAGCTGGCCCGGAGGCGCATCTCCGGCGAGCATGATGAGCCCTTGCGCTTCTATGACTACTCGTACTTGGAGATCTTTCTGCTCGACTGGCTGACGCGTCATCATCTGCGCCTGGGCGACATCGATGCTATTGGCAGCGATGTGCAGCTGCTCATTGAGTACTTTAAGTTCAATAACCTCAATTCCCTGGCCACGCTGCTCATCCAAACGATCAACAGCAGCGCCAACGAGTCCAGCAGCCATTCGCCCGTGAACAAATACGACACGGACGATTTGGAAAGTACTCCAGTTGCTCCAAGTGCAGGAGGAGCTGCTCCTTTTCTAGCTGAAACTTCAGGCCCAGCGCCCTGCACTGCACCTGCTGCTCCATCATCTAGCATCAGTAGGCAGCGACGCTCCAATGCTCTACAAGTGCATCGGGATAGGGCTGGAATATTGCTCATAATCAATCAGCAAAATTTTCATCGCAATGTGAGCGAGGAGTTAATGGTGAGTAAGAAATCGAGTTATCAGTAAATTTGAAATAGATAATTATTAATATATAAAAGATTAGCCTTTTGAATCCGAATTTTTAAATGCATATTTAAAAAGTTTAGCGATTGTTATATTTGTTTGGCCTATCGATAAATATGTATCTACTTTCAAAAAGTCCTTTTATTTGTCGATTTTTAGCGCATTTTGTATTTTTTTTTTTTCGGTGCGTAACGTATTTTTTGCAATCTATTTCGACTGGAAATATGGTAAAGAAAATAAATGGTTAACACCAAAAGCTATTCGACCAAAACAGAAATTCACAGAATGTTTAAATTAACTATCCAATTACTCATATTTATATGTAAATAAAACATATCACTTATCGATACACAAAGACCGAAATGAGTAAGTGAGCTGTAAACAAAAAGTTTAAAACCTTTAATTCGTGTGAACATTTCGCAGACATTTTTACCCACCCAGAAGTTGACGCAACGAAATGGCACCAATGCGGATAAACAGCGTCTCATTGATGTCTTCTCGCCGCTGGGCTACGAAGTAGAGGCGCACGATAACGTGGACCATTTGAAGATGATCGCCCTCATACGCGGTGCCTGTGCCCGATCCGTGCTCCGGGATTCGCTGATTGTGTGCATATTGTCGCATGGATTTGAGGGCGCCGTTTACGGTGCGGATAGCATACCGCTGAGCATCGAGGACGTCAAGAAAGTACTCTGCGCCGATGAGAGTCTGCACGACAAGCCCAAGATGTTGTTCATCCAGGCCTGCCAGCAGAACGAGAAGCAGCTGAAAACGGTAGACGACCGTAGATTGTTTGTAATCGAATTTCTCACATTCGCAGTCCGTTTTTATGTATTTACAGCGTAATGTGAATGCCACGACGCAGTCGGCAAGCCAGTTGGCAAACATGGTGGTGGCCATGTCCACGGTGCCGGGATTTGTTGCTCTACGGCACAGCGTGCAGGGCAGTTGGTTCATCCAGACGCTGTGCGACACTGTGCAGAAACATGCGAAGAGGTAAAGATGCCTTCCATAACTCCAAAATTCAGCTCAGTACACTGCCAGGGTTAACGAAATCGTTTTCTAACCCTTGCCTAATCTTGCAGCGATCACATCCTGGATATTCTGACACTTGCTGCCGGACAAGTGATCGAGAAGCGCGGCGATAAGGATCAAAAAATGGTGCCCATTGTTATCAATACGTTGACAAAGAACGTTTATTTCTCCGAGGCTGCCTGACGCTGCAGAATTTCGACTATTATTTCACTATGCCGGGATCTGTGTATTAATTCTTAATCATTTCAGTCAGTCAATTTAGTTTATTCTTGATTAACGTCATCATTTGTGCCTCGTGCTAAAAGAGTTCAGCCAGATGCTGCTATCCCTGTCTGATTCGCTGCGCGGAAAACTAATTGTTTAATAGCGTTGCATTTATAGCGTTAGTATGAGATATATTCAATTTAAAAATTCGATATTCTATGGTATATATAAGCTAATCTACAAATTTTTGTTGTGGTAGTCAAGCTGCAGTTACAACTACATTATCGATTATTATCGATAATAGGTATATGTTATGCAGGAATATGCATTAAGTCTCTAGAGGAACTTGGCTGGGTTGGCTCAGTTCAGCTTTCCCTTGATCAGCAATATATATATACTTATTGGGCTTTGCCACGCCCCTTTCTGCATGTTACATACATTTTAGTAAAGCTATTAAACCCACAGTTAGGACTTGCATATATGTACAAGGTATCGCTTCAAATATGACGAAATTCGGAATATTTTGAAGTATACAATATACAATCGTAACGCTTGCATGGAATATATATTCAACAATTGTATCAAAAGAGGTTTCAAATGCTAAAATAAAAAAATGTACAATATTATTATTGTATTAGTATTGAGGATTTATTGTTGTGTTGAACAGAAACATTTTTTTTATTGACATTTTCAGAATTTTGAAAACATTTCGTTTTTGTTTGTTTTTACATTTTTTTTTTTGGTATTTTTTGTTGAGGTTTTTACATTTTTTTGTTGGTTTTTATTTTGATTTTGTTGTTTTCCTTTTCTGTTTGGTTTATTTTATCCATTCGTCGTATCACTTGGTTTTGTGTTAAACCAATTTAAAGCACGTAACCGCGTTAGCCCCAGCGTTTACGTGAAAATCCGCCCCTAAATTATCAAATTCCCCTGGAAATTGGGATAGTAGTAAACAAAGAAATGATTTGTCCCCGGTAAAATTATAAAATTAACCTTCAGAAGTCAGCTTATTAAGCTGAGTGCGTAGCTTATGTATATTAATCTCCATGGATTTTGGTTGATAGTCGGCGATATTATCAAGGATCATACGTGCAAACTCCTTGCTGTCCGATTTGTTAGAGAAGCGGCGCAAGTGCTTCACTATCAGACCGGCAATTTGAGCACGACGCCTGGTATCTGTCGTGGTCATAGGGATCAGCGTGGAGAAGCTGATCATAAGCTGAGGAATACCCTTCCAGCTACTGGAAAGAATGGCATCGAATAATCCATACGAGATTTTGCTGTTGCGATGAGTGGACCACTCCATGGCAATGTCATTAATCATTGTCCAAACGGGAGTATCGGTCACTTCCTTCTCGTCCATTTGACTGATTAAATAGGCGGTGCACCGTTCACGCAATCCAATCGCGCCGTCTATGACCAGTTGATTAATTTTTTCCCTCTGCTCAGCAAGCAGGCTCTTAATGCAATCGAATAGCGGTGTTTTGTCCTGCTCAGGTGCCGTGTAGACAATATCCTCAGTCATCAAGCGGCGCATCGTCTTTTTGGCAGCCTCGACCAGAGGCGGAAACTTGTCGTTCTTGCTGCAATTTTTGAAGAGCTGCTGAAGGCAGACCACTGTGTCCACTATAATCTCCTGCTGCGGTTGCAATGTGAAGAATAGCTCCACCAGATCCAAAATCCGTACGCGCAAGTGCAACAATGTGGTTTCTGTGATGCGTACCGACTTGGGTGGACGCTTCTTCGAGTCCTTACCCTGCTGGCTGTTGCCCTTGCCCTTTTTGTTCACCTGGAAGGCGGCCTCCAGTGCCTTGTTGAGCCGTTCGCCCTGCTCCTCGTCGACGTCATTCCAATCGATGCTGCTGGCATCGTCATCATTATTCGCGTCATCAAGCAGTGCTTTGCGCACATTTTCGCGCACCACTTCGAGATTGGTGGCTTCATCGATATCCATAGCAGCCTCCTTATCATCGTCGGCATCATCATCATCATCATCATCATCATCGTCGTCGTCGGCGCCATCATTGTCGTCGTCATCTTCATCATCTTCGCTTGTATCACCATCCCCATCACTATTCACATAGATATCCGAATTACCCACTAGGGGATTTTTGGTGATGTCCAAAAATCCCAAAATCTGCTTCAAATTATCCCTGCTCAAGTGATGGATCAATGTGGCGCCGACGGACTTGATTAATTGACGCCAATAGTTGCCCGTTTGGAGCAATAATTGAATCAAAGCCTCTGTTACGACCGACTGCCATGAGGGCTCCGATTCGGAGGCCTAATGAAAAATAAGAAGACGAATTAGAGCAATGTTCAATTAGATCTGCACTGCTAACAGCCCTTCCACTGTTAACAGCAGCTGTTAATACACTTACACTGGACTCGTTAGCCTGCGACTTCGACTTGATTGCATTCTCCTTGCAAATGAGCAAGTCATCAATTATATCCAATTCCATGTTGCTGTTGGGCATCAACGTTGCGATCCCAATGAACATGATAAGCGTATCGAAAATAAGGCCATATGCCTTGATTTCCGTCTCCTTGATCGGATCCGATTCCACCACCGTCTGCACCTTTTCCCATGTCTTGCGCAGCTCAGGAGTCAGCTTAATGCGCAGCTTCGACTCGTTGCTAGACTTGAATAGCTTGCGTGAGAACGGCAGCAAAAGCGTACGCAGCACTTGATTCAAGTCCTCTAACTGCTCTTTATTCACACCAAGCTTGTGGACCAGACAGTTGAACAACGACTCCTCGCAGCGTGAGGCTGCCTGACGACTGAAGATGGCCGCATCGCCGGCTGTGCACTTCTTCAGTTGATCGTCGAGATGGAAAACTGATGCATTCAGTAAAAACCGCAACTGCTGATTGCGCTTAGAGTGCATCAGATTTTGCATTTGCTTGAGGCAATGCTCGCGATCCGATGGAGTCAACTTCTCATTGTTACTGGTGAAATTTTCAAAATAGAAATCGTACATCTGATCCAATCCCTCCGCGGACAGCTTGGTGAACAAGGTCTGCGTCAATTTCGGCGTTTGTGCAATCATATCCAGATTCAGCTGCTGCTCCAGCAGGGGACGTAGAATTTGCAGCTTGCTGTCATCCTGCTTAAATATTTGATCGAAACATAGTATGATTGCCGCCTCAAATTGACGGCATATGAAGCGCATCTTATCCTTGGCATCGCCGCCTTTCTTCTTGTTATCATATTTTTTCATAGCCCTAAGCTCCTCAACCAGCATGGTTACCAAGGGCTCCGCGGCAAATATACTCTTCAGCTGGACGCGAGACTCAGGTTTGTTCTCATCCATGTAAACGATTATATTCGTCAGAGTACTGATGAAGCAACTCTTCTCTACGATGTTATTAGATGGCAGCTTCTCGATAACATGCTTGAGCCAAGCTTCCAGCGCCTGCTCATTGCTGCATTTTGCCAAAAATTTACCCAATATATATGTAGTATATTTGAGCAATGTTGGTGCTTTCAAATAGAAATTGAACAGCTCTTCGTATTGTGGCGGCTGATTGCGCCATAGTATTGACTGCAGCTGCTCTAGAGGCAACACCGTTGGATATCGATTGTGGACTGTGATTAATAGATCCAAGGTGTGCAGCTTTTGTGCCGTCAGAGGCTTATTTATCTCTGGCTGCAGAATTTTCCAAACGTAAGTCTTGAAGTTCGACACGTCCACCTGGAAAGGAATAAGTACACAGGCTTAATTGATAGCACAGTTAATGGTCAGTTGATTTCAGTTCTTACCGCAGCGAACGAGGAACCCATAATGTCAGCACACATTGATGTCAGATACTCGCGTCCCTTTAGATTGGGAATCAAAATTGGATATACCACTTGTATTAGATCTGATGATGGCTGATCAAAATATTCAGTCTGCATGAGGCACAAAACGGTAATCAATTGCCCAATGCCGGCCAGCGACTCCTCCTTGCCCTTCGGGCTGCCATTGCACGGCAGTTCATGTTTTAGCAAAGCCAACAAGTCAATTGGATTGAGGCCAGGCACCGAGCTCAAAATATTCAGTATATACCCAGCGCTGGTAGCCACGGTATCCATGTCGTCGGCACCGGTGCAGCGTATCAAGCGCTTTAAGGCATAGGCACAGGTGGCTGTGCGCTGTAAGCAAAATTATTGAAATCAATATTCCTTGAATGAGAGATAACGGCAATCGTTTGTATATATGCATTTGATAAGCCACTATTCTTTACTGAATTTATATTTTTAATTTTAATTTAATTTATAAGGAACACTTTATTTTATATCAGTATTTACACAAGTGTGAGTGATTTACATGTGAAAGTTAAGAGTACAGGCCATAAACCTTTTCTGCTTAAATGTTAATATTATTTGTTCAGGAAATTTAATTACATTTAGAAACATTATTTTTGAAGGAAAAGTATAAACAAAAACCTCGTAAAGTTTTATATTTTTTTATTTTAATTTTTTTTGTTTTATCTTCATCTAAAATTTCAAGACTCTAGCTCCAAATATGTAGGAGATAAAATTTAATAACTGATTTTCGATAGGGTTGTCGATTTCATGATACGCACAGATCCGTCATCAAAGGCTTCAAGTGTTCTTAAAATACTTTCAATAGATAGTATATTTACATTGTTGATTTCATCATCTATAGAAGTTTACTTTATATGGTCAGACCATTTCTCATCTGCCCATTACAAAAATTTTAGCCAGATTTAAACTTATATATTGTTCAGAGTACACAAATTTAAGATTTAAAATTATTTTACCATTTATAAGTAAATTATTTGTCATTTCATTTTGTATCCTAAAATTTGTATTGCCATTTGACATGTTATGAAAACTTTCTAGAATTCAAATTAGCTTTACACCGCCATATTTTTTTCCGTTAGTAAATTGAATGTAAGACTTGAATTATATATTCATTCAATCCAAACGACAAACAGTAATTGCCAGAATGGCCAAATCTTATTGGCAGCTGTGAGAACAGCCATTTTTTTTTTTTTTTTTTTTTTTTTTGACACTCCAAAAATTGTAAATTAAATTTGTATTTATTTTTAGATATTTAGCATTTTTGTTATTCTTTGCAAACTCAATGTATTATTTCATTTATATGTTCTATAAACGTATACAGCTAAATGCTAAATGCAATAAGGGCAAATATTAAAGCTTTTCATTTTCAATATTTAGCCGTTGCAAATCGCACTTAACAACAAACGTTATAGACGCCATTTTCGGTAAAACGTTTTTTGACACCAAAAATTGCAAATTACATTTACATTTATTTGATTTGTGCCATTGTAGCCCTAAAATAAATGTAATATATTAATTGTCTTCTATAAACGCATACAGCTAAATGCTAAATGCAATAAGGGCAAATATTAAAGCTTTTCATTTTCAATATTTAGCCGTTGCAAGTTGCACCTAACGGCAAACGCTATAGCCGCCATTTTTTGAAAACATGTACGTTTCTTTTTTTTGACAGTTCAAAAATTGTAAATTAATTTCTCGAATCTTTTTGCTGAAATGAGTTTGGGCACATACCTTAGTGAGGTCCTCCTCTAAGCGAAATAATGAAATCATGTCATTTAAATACACCTGCGTGCCCTTGCTTGTAGCTCCCTTCAATTTGTCAAATATGGGAAAAATACCCTTGTTTATACTGTCCAAGTCAAATTTTAGAACATTTTGCTGCTCTACCGAGACTTCCGCATTCTGTTCCTCTTCACCAACCGACTTAACAGAGACTTTGCGTTTTTTGGGTGAAGCATTCTCAGTCTCTGTTTCCATTGCTTTTTTGGGACGCTTTACAGTAGAAATCTTTGCATTTGGCTTCAATTGCGGCTGCTCGTTGTTAGTTTGATTCTCCTTCTGTTCTTCCGGCATTTTCTTTACTGCAATTGGCGGCCCAGCGATGGGTCTTTTCGCGTTTGGCTTTTTAGGACTTTTAACTAAAGTTTTCATTTTTATAAAAAACGAAAAACAAAAAACAAAAAAAAAAATAGATTTTAATAAACTTTTGGAAACTGTAAAATTCGTTCTACACTCAATGAAGCACGTTTTCAAAGTGCTCGTTTGTTCACTGAATGTGGTTTAGCCGGAGTATGGCAACACACAGGGTTCTATGATCAGATTTATCGGCTTATCGTTTTGTGCTCAAGGCAAGTATGCAGCTTATTACAGTCGATTGGTAGTGACATAAAAATCAAAGCTGTATTGTTATATGAATAGAGGTAAAAATATATTGAAATTGCATATCATTATTCAACAAACAATTAAAATATAAACAAGCAAAAGATTTACATAGAAAATACATTATAATACAGCATATCTATTGTATATATACATTAATCTATCTACAGCTGCATGGTAAGTAATGAAATGATTCGAATTTTTTTTTCAATGCATATTTATAAGCATTATAGAGAAATTGCGTTTCAAAGAATAACTTCTGCTTTTCTTTGGCAGTTGTGCCATTGCTGGAATAGCGTGGAATTGAATCGATATATTCATCGCACAGCGATACTAGGCGTGAGCTGCGTACCATTTCAAAACAGCTGTTGCTTGCGCGATTGCACGTGTTGCCCAGAGCTGCATTTAATTTTTACCCTTATTTGGTTGTTGTTTTGGTATTTGCTGCTCGGCGGCGTCTTTTAACCGGTAATTGATAAACGTCAATTTGACTCCACAAAGAAGAAAAAACTCACCATGGGCAAAAACAAGCGCAACAAACAACAGCAGCAGCAGCAACAACAACAACAGCCGCATCAACAAGAGAATCAACAGATCAAGCATGCGCTAGAAGCAGCTGCCGCATTTGCTGCAAGTGATGCAGCCGTCGCAGCAGTGGCAGCAGCAGCAGCAACAAAAACAACAACATCTACAAATAACAAAAAGCAGACGAGCAGCAGCAATAGCAACAACAACACAAAAATGCGCAACAAGCAGCAGCAGCAGCAGCAACAGAATCAACAACAACAACGTCTACAAATAACAAATGGCAGCCGCATACCCAGCCTCAAAGACAAAGTTCGCCGTGTATTAAATCAGCTCGCCCAGGACATCCTGGAGCTGGTGCAAATGCAGCCGGCCAATGCGAACGATGAGTGGAAACAGTACGTTGAGCTACAGCGGCTGCTCGATCGCATGATCTTTCACGAAAAACCGCTGCAAGAAGCCGTCTTTCCCGCGAAAGACGCCCAGCTGACTGAACAGACTCGATTGTCCAAGATTGAAGCCTTCAATGAATGGGCACGGGCCGGCGGTGTGAAAACCGATTGTGTGGAAATCGCAACATTTCCCGGCTATCAGCTGGGCTTGCGTGCCACACGCGACATCAAGGCGGGCGAACAGGTACTCAGTGTGCCGCGCAAGCTCATCTTTTCGGAGGAGCTGCTGCCCGAGAAGCAGCGTCAGCTCTTTCGCAATTTCCCCACCCACCTGAAGGTCACATATACGCTGATTATGGAGAAGCTACGGGGCGCGGACAGCCCCTGGCAGCCGTTCATCGATACGCTGCCCTCGCGCTACAACACCGTGCTCTACTTCACCGTGGAGCAAATGCAACGATTGCGTGGCACCTCGGCCTGCTCGGCTGCTGTGCGGCATTGCCGTGTCATTGCACGCCTCTACGCCTCCATGTACAAGTGCGCCTTCATGCAGCTCGATGACAGCGTTATGGGCGGCATGGCAAATCTCTTCACCGACTACGGTCTCTGCTACGAGCTTTATCGGTAAGTGCATGAAACGTGTTTCAAAGATTTTCCCTGTGTTTCCCCTATGACGCCTGCTTAACGATTTATTCAATTATGTACTTAAATATTTGCAGTTTCTCATACTAAGCGGCAATCTGATGATCTAGTTATTTTCTCTTTGTTTCTCTTAATGATAGAGTTTAAGAATGTGCCATTTCCATGCAACTGTTTAAAGAATCATATTGCTGGCGACTCATTTCTTAATTTATTTTTAGAGTGCTTTAAACAGCCTTAGTCAATCTACTTAGCTTCTAATAGAAACCAGATTTACTTTTGTATTAGTCAATTTTTGTTTGCTTTCATGAAGCCTGAGTGTTTCATTCCCCATTTGCTGCCTTTCAGCGCCTATGCGTTGATTGCATTCGAAATTCTAAGTATACTGAAAATGTTATTTTAAGCAATTGTTTCTGTTCAGTGTTTCCATGTATTTTTTTTGCGGCTGCCAAGAGCTTTTAACTGTTTCAATCAGCTGCATTCCTAGATATTTGCGTATTTTGAGCTTACATCCGTTTCACATTCCAGCATTCCAGCTTCGCGCTGCTGATTGTCTGAGCATTTCGAAACAGCTTGAACTCGATTCACTGCGTTTTTTATCGTTTGATTTCCAACGTTCCTTATATAATTGCTTCAACTATTTTGTTCGAATATTTTATGACCTTAAATTCCCAATCATCAATTGATTTAACAATTTTTAAAAATATTTGCTTTACTACATTTTATTTCCACAAAAAAAAAAAAAAAGAAAAGAAATATAAATAACTAAAACTGAGAAACTAAATCGTAAGTTATTTACATGCTTACATTTATGTATCTCTTTTATATATATTTAGATATATATATATATATTTGTATTTGTATTTAGTTGGATTTCTTGTATTTTGTGGGCACAAAAAATGAAATCGTGTTTCAAAATTCTGTTTTATATTATTTTATTTGCAGTTATTCTAATTTGCCAGTGTTGGGCAGCTTGCCTAACTTTGTCTAGTGCACATGGGGTTTGGCTATAGTATAGTTGTTGTTTTTGTTGTAGAGCAATGAATTTGGTTTAGTTTGTTGGGATTCGTATCGATGGAAAAATTTATTGTCGTCAAACATTGTTTTTAAAATTTTTTTTTTAGGGATTTCCAACAGATTTTTGCATAATTTGTTTCGTCATTTATTTTGGTGCTTGCCCTCTCGCTCTTGCCCCCTCCCGTTCCTACTCTCTTACTCTCTCTCTCTCTCTTTCGTTCTAACTATCTATCCTCCTTTGCTTGTGCTCTAGCGAAACCCACTTCAAATTCTATTTGTGCCCCTGAAACGCAGTTTTTATTGAATCACTTAACTCGACTTTTCAGATGTTTTTGCATTTTCTACTTTCACATTTAATGGATTTTTGTTTTAGGTTAGCTGTAGTTCGAACTGTAATTAGGTCTAAGATTTAAATACTATTTATTTAAGTACGTGCCTAAGGCTAAATATGACACAGGCCTACAAATTGCATTCACTGAATTTGTTGTTATACAATATATTTATTACTTTTTTTTTTTTTTTTTTTTTTTTTTTGTTTTTTACATATTTTAGAGAAGCCCCATGTTTCTCCTTGTTCGTTTGGATCTGATATTTTTTTTAGTTGAGGGTGGCGTTCCATTTCGTTTCTGCCCTTTCAGGCGCGATAAATGAGATGTAGCGGATGCTGCGATTGAACAGACTCTTCTTGTTATTCTATTACTCGCACTTCTTCTTTACTTCTCTATATCTAGTGAGCTGTATTTGCTTTTGCTTCTCACTGCCAAAGTATTTTCTTGAACTTCTTTCTTGCTTTGCTATGCTTATTTCTTAAGTTGTTGGCTTGTTTCTGTTTGCATTCTTTCCCTCTCCCTCTCTCTCTCTCTTCCTCTTTCTCTTGCTCCCTCTTTCGCTTCTCCCTTCACTTCTCACTTTACGATTGTAGATTGAACTTCTTGACTTGTCTTCAACCTCTCGTCTGGTTTTCATCTCTTTGTTTCTCACTTATCTTACCCTATTTCTTAATTTACTTACGTTTCTTCCTTCCCCTTTTGGCCTTGCAGCAAACTTTTCTCTCTACTTCACTGGAGATATTGTTTTTACCTTAACTTGTTGCTTTTAGCTTCGTTTCTCTATTTATTTTCGTATCTTGCTTCTGGTTTCCTTTCTCATTTCGTTTCTCAGTTAGTTTTTCTTTGGGCTCTTCTTCATTTGATTGGACCTGAAGTTTAATCAAACTCCAATCTTGCTCCCTCCTATGCTCGCTCTATGCACTGCCTCCTTCTCTCTCTCCAGTCTTTTACTTACTTTTCATCTCAATTTGTTCGAATCTTTTTTTAAAAACAATTTGTAGGACAGTGTCATATAAGCCATATGCAACGACAGTTTGTTCCTCTTCTTCTTCTTTCTTCGTTTCTTTTCTCTTACTATTCTTAATTGCAACATACACAAAAAAAAAATTCCATTTCTCTTAGATTCATAAACTAGCATATTTTCCGTGTATATTTAGATTATGTTTATATATCATATATATATATATATATATATATATTTATATATTTATAGTTTATATAAAACTTGGCCTAAACGGAGCGAATACCATCAACGGTTCTCTAGGGGTGTGTGAGTGTGTGTGTATTTGTTATCTAGAGTCTAGTGCTAAATTAATTATCGAATGATTTGCGCAACGTATCGAATAGGTATTCCTGCACCTCGGGCGAATTGGGATCCATGGTATTGAGTTTCTGATGCGTGCTGCGCAGTGTTAATGCCAATGAATTGACGCCACGCCCAGCTGCTGTTGCGGTGGCAGTTGCTGTTGTGGCCGCCGCCCCAGCAGATGTGGCCGTTGCTGCAGCCGCCGCTGATGTTGCTGCTGCTGCTGCTCCTGCTGCTGTCGTCACGGAGCAGCCCTCGCGGCTGAATAGCAACGAGCTCTGGCGCTGCAGCTGATGTGAGTGCTGTTGATGCTGATACTGATGGTGCACGGGCGTGTTGCACGACACTGTGGCAATGCCGAGTGCAGCCTTTTGCGGCTTGTGGCACATTTCGCTGCTGTTGTTGCTGCCGCTGCTGTTGGTGCCGCTGCTGCTGGTGATGACCAGCTCCTCCATGTGCTGGCGCAGCGAGGAGCGACGCGAGGCGTTCGCCGTCTGTGCCAACTGGGGCAGCTTACTCTTCATCGCATTGTAGGTCTTCAGGTAGCTCGACTTGCGCTTCCGATGCTGCTTCCAGCGGCACACCACAAAGATCACCATCAGCGTCGCCAGCGACGTCAGCACAATGGCCGCACTGGCCACCAGCGCCGATCGTATGCCCGCCGGCATGCTCGCATAGAGACTGCTCAGATGCTGCTGCGACATTGTTGTCGCCGCGGCTGTCGGACTACGGCGGAAGCCATGCCCGGACAGCTCCAAGTCGAGCAAATCGTGAGCCCGCGCCACCTCATTCTCAATGGTATCGATGACATCGCTGTTGTCCTCGCTGGGCGCCAGTTTGCTCACATTGACGCTGCTCGAGCCGCCAAATGCATTCACACTTAGATCAATGTCCATGCTGTTGCTGCTGCTGCTGCTATCGTCCTGCTCCTGCGAGTCCAGCAGTAGGCGTGGCGGCGGCAAATAGTACGCGGTCCGCTTATCGTCCGCATTGACGCCGCCAGCTCGAGCCGTGGCCAGCGAGGCGAGCGCCAAGGTTTTCCACGAGGGAAAGAAATTTAGCGACTTTTCGCTGCGCGGTTGCTGATGTTGTTGCTGTGCTGTGGGTGTGGCTGATAGGGATGTTTGGGCATAGGCGGGTCCTACGGAGAGACAAGAAAACTTGTTAATAGTGTTTGGCGTATAAGCAGCTTTGTTTTGTTGTTGATCGGCGTTTGCAGCGAGCTGTGGCTTGTGTGCTTTACTACCAGGCATGATGGCATATTTGGTTTATGTGTTATCGATAAATATCGAGGTATAAACAAGTTGGCTAGCATTGTGAACAGAGCGAGGTATTGGTAGCTATACAGACTATAGAGCTATATCATATATTGTTGTGTTATCGATAAATTTGTAAAAGTTGAATCGAATATAGCTACACTTCTAGTGATTTTAAGATTAATCGCTTATCGATCTTTGGCTTATACAACATCCATGATAAAAGATTGTAAATTGCGTAGCTCTAAATCAATGCATGTGCTATCGATAATTCATCAAATCTGCCATGATCGATAAATAACAAAGAATATAACTAAAAAATGATTATCTTTAAGATGGTTTTTAAACATCTCTAGCGCAGTTTGATTAAAATAAGCCTGGTGCTAGTTATCGATAACATACAACTGATAAATCAGAATAAAATAAAATGGATTCACAGTTGCAATAGCATCAATGATTGTATGATTGTGTAGGCAACTTTACATTATATACCAATCGATAAGAGTGCTTCAGTAATAAATCGATAACATAAAACACACGTCAAATATGCCCAACATTCCCAGCGATTACTTACGTCTGTGCATTTGGCGTGCTGAGTTGCTGCCGCGCACTGCTGTGTGTGTGTTTGTTTGTGTGCCTTCCCGATCAACAACAACAACGACAACAACAGCAGACAAATCGAAATAAGGAAACAAATAAGTGAAAACAATAAGTGAATAGAGAATGGAAATCATAATCATGAATCGATAAATGGCAACAGCTCAGCAGGCGCCAAATACTCGCGCATACTCGCACACGCTCACTGCAGCAGCTGTCGGCGTCGCTGCTCGCGCTGGCGCTGCCGTTGACGTCGCAGCCGCAGTGCAGTTATACCTCGATTGCGATTGTTATCGATGCCATCGCTGGCACCATCATCACCATTTTCATTGTTCGGCTCAATATCGATAATCGATGTGAAATAGCTGGAGCCCTGCGAGTCCGTTTTAATCTCATCCGGTTTCACGCTCTTCAAGTCGATCAAATTGAAATGCGGAAAATTCTCAAATGCCGTCACAATATCCATATTATCCTGCAGCACCACCTTCTGGCCGGGATAATAGCGTGACTGCTCACTGCCCGAGCTGAGGATCGTGGATAGGTGCAGCTGACTCGAGCCTCGTTTACGATGCTCGATCAGCTCCTCCAGCGTCATGTTGCGTTGCTCGAGCACTTTGAACAAACGATTGCCCGACCGTCGATCTTCGATTAGTTCGAGTAGATCCGTGCGATCGTCCACATCATCGACGAGCAGCAGCGGCTGTTGTTGTTGCTGCTGCTGCTGTTGTGTGCGTATGTGTTGCTTGGTTGGTCGCGCTGTTGCTGTCGGCGCTGGCAAGCGTATGTGATGCGTATTGCTTTCGACTTCATCGAAAAAGTTCTCCAACTCATCGTTGCCCTCCTGTTGCTCCTCGCTGCTGTTGTTGTTGCTGCTACTGCTGCTGCTGCTGTTGTATGTTGCCGCTGTGCTGACGATGTTATCGTTCAACTCCAACTCCACATCTTCGATGCCTTCCACGGAATTTCTATCGTGATTGCTGCCAATAATATTGTCCCGTAATCGCTTCGTTTGCTCTCTGCTGTTGCCGCTGTTGTTGTTGCTGTTGCTGTTGTTGCTGCTGTTGCGTATGCGATAACGTGTTGCTGTTAACAATTCACTGCTGTTTTCTTCCTCAGATATATCTGCTGCAGCAACTGTTGGTGTTGCTGTTGTTGTTGTTTCCAGCAACAGCAATTCGTCCTCAGCTTGCTCTGTTGTGCCTGCTGTTGCTGCTGCTGCAGTTGTTGTTGTTGTGGCTGCTGCTGATGTTGTTGTTGTTGTTGGCGTTGTTGTGCTGCTCGTTGTTGCTTTGAACAACCCGTGCGGCTTTAGTGTGGAACGCATTTGCTGTCGTTTCTTGTAAAGCGGCAATCGTGTTGTTGTTGTTGTTGTCGTTGAGCTGCTAGCAACAGTTGTTGCTGCTGTGCTGCTGCTTAGGCGTCGAGTGCTGCTGCTTTCGCGCGACGAGCTGCCAAATAGCTTCAAACGCTGCAATGCCGGCAGCTTATTCGGCTTGGGCTTGAACAGTTCCTCCCGCGAATCCTCCAGCTGCTGCTGCTGCTGCTGTTGCTGCTGCTGTTGATCCTCCTCCTGCGCCAGAAACGCGGCGGGTATGCGTCGGACACCATGCTTGTTGCCGTTGCCATTGCCGTTGCTACTGTGACTGGCTGCTGCTGCTGTCTTGGCCTCCTGGCTGGTAGCAGGCGCCACCGCTGTTGTCTGCAGCGCCAGCAGCGCATTCTGCTTGCCCTTGAGCAGATCGTCCAGCGACAGATTCTTCTGCTGCAATATCTCGCTGAGGCTGAGGCCGCCCGAGTTCTTCAAGATGTTCTTCAGGTCAACAGACGTTTTGCTATTGCCTGTGGCAGCAATTGGTTGCTGCTGCTGCTGTTGCTGTTGCTGCTGTTGTTGCTCCTGGTCTTGTTTCTTGGCCTGGCCGTAGGGTCGACGGTAGGCTTTGCTGGCGCTCAAGGGGGGCGCCTCCGTCTGACGCAGTCGCTGGCGCTCGCGCTCCCTTTCTAGCGCCGCCATCGGCTCGCGTATGGGCAACTGTTTGCGTCGACCAGCTGCAGCATCCTCCACATGGCCGCGCCAATAGGCGCCATTTGGCTCGCCCTCCTCCTCGTTGGCACCCATCGTGGCCAGCGGCAGTTGCGGACGTCGCTTTCGTTTGCCTCCACCTGCACCTGCTCCTCCGCCGCCCGGTCGTCTACGTGGCACTGCTGCAGCTGCCTCTGGCGTTGATTTGCCATCGTCCACAATGAGCGAGACGCCCGTTTGGAGCAGCTGCTGCAAATGATGCAAAAGAGAGAGAGAGAGAGAGAATGAGAGAGAGAAACATTGTTATCAGATGCTGCAAAAGAGATTTATTGCGCCGGTTAGCACATGGTCAGCGTTTCGATTGGCTTTCATTGATTGATGGACTGCATTGATTAATGACATTTCTGAATGCAGCAGCAATCAGTGTGCCAGCGAGTGTAGGTGTGTGTGTGAGTATTTGGATATCTGCGTGTGTGTGTGTGCGTAATCAATTTAACACTACTTTTCGCATATAATCGATAAACAAATGCAATCGTTTGTACACATATTAAAGCTGCAAAAGCTTTCGTTACTTAAGAAGTATTGAATAGCTATCGTTTATCGGTAGGTGCACTTATAAGCCTAGATATTGTTAATAAATAATCCTAAATACTGACACTGTTATTATTATTATTATTTTCGATAGCTGCGCGTGTTTGTTTTAATGTCGATAAAATATTGTGTGATCGATAATGTAGTGTTATCGATAGCACTTATGTATGACTGCACTATAATGCACTTTAATATATATCCGTCGATATCAGTCGATAACGTAAGAATTATGCATAGTTTAATTTCGTTGAAATATGTTTAATTAATAACTTATCATAGGTTGTTATCGATAGTTTCAATAACTGCAAATGGTTTATTAAATTGATTGAGTTGGCAACGGTCAAATTTCAATGGCTGTGATATCGATAACTAGAATATAATTTTGTTCAAATAACTTTAATTCATAGTTGTCATAATTGTGTTATCGATAGCTGTAAATGCTTTGCTTTAATATCGTTAAACGATGTTAAGTTACACAAATTTAATTATATTTAATGGATAATACTGGAAATTGCGCAAATGATGTTATCGATAACTGTTAATAATAGTTTGACTGATTTATGCGCTATTAAATTTGATTAACTCATTCGGCCAGCCAATCAATGTTTGCTAATTTCTCGGCTACATAATTGCCTTGAGCATATCGCCACATCGTAGCAGACAAGCTGTCCAAACATCGTAAACTGCCCGAATACTGAAATTGCATGGCAGATAGAGATGGCAATGGGGCAGAGTGAGAGGGACGCCATGGATTTAGCTATAGCCATTGACAGAGCTGCCAAACCGTGACTTCAGGCGCATTTCCGTTCACGTAATTAATTTTCAATTTAGCACCAAACCCTTGCCACCCAAATAGGCAAACTGCCAACCACCCAACCACCCAGCCACGCAACCCATCTGCCTTAACCCTTGGGTGCTAGGTCCACGTCCCACGTTTTCTGCTCTGATGTCTGCATAAGTAGCGTGAAAGCTAGCCTGATTATTCGCAGTCGGATTATTAACGTGCATGGGCTTGTCCGTCCCCAGTCGCAGCCCAGCCACGCCCCCTTGTTTTGCCTGAGTAATTGGCTGGTTCCATTGGCAACTCTTTCTCTTTTGCTTCTGCTTCTGCTACTGCTCGTCCTCCTCCTACTCGCCTCTTAGGCTATCGTTCTTTTCCCCAGCTCTAATCAGTCTAATGCAAATGCCGATTTGTGCATTTATGAGCTTTATGAGAGTTGTTGTCTATGTGGGCGTGGGTGTGAGTGTGCCCGTATGTGTGTTTGTGTGTGTGTGTGTGGGTCTGTGTGAGTCTGCGGTTTGTGCCTTGTTGCCCACATTAATGAAATTGATCAGATTGATTTTTGATGACCCACTAAAAGGCTTCTTTTATTTGTATCACGTGATGTGGAATGCTTATCAAAGATTGAATATTGAATATTTATATATGTATAAATATTCGATATATACAATTTTTTTTGCTATATATACGAGCTCGTTAGTGAAGCTAAATTAATTAAATTTTGTTGACGTTCAATTCCAAAGTATGTGTTATTTATACTATATAGAAATCTATTGAAATCTATACTATATAGAAATCTGTATAAGAAATAGAAACACAAATATATATAAGTATACAGTCCTATATGATATAATAGTGCAGATGGTTAAATCATTTCTTAAAATTTAAACTCCAATCACTTTGAATCCTATTACATATATTGTGATTTAATGAACCTTATTGCAACTTATTGTCGTCTATATATTGTGTATACTTCTACCTGATGCTTGCATTCATTAAAGGCCCAACAATTCCGAAACTACCTGAGCGAATAATTAAGTTGAAGGCTAATGACAAAACTAAATTGTTGACGTAAAAGTTAAGCAAACAAAGCGCCAAAAACTTGCTACGAAACTCATTACACAATATGCTAGCCAAAAACAAAAGCTGACAGAAAGGGGGAGAGCAAAGCGAGAGAGAGAGAAAAACGAAAAAGTTTTTGCGACAACTGCAAACAATGCAAAAATAATGTAAAATTGAAAACACAAACTCATTCTGTCGCAGTCAGAGAAATTTCAATATGGAATGGAACAAGAACGAAATGGCATGGAACGTCGCTGACAATGCAAGCAGCATGAACAAAAATGGTGCAGAAGCTAAGGCGCTGTGCTAGCTGGAAGTGAGCTAGAGCGAGTCTATATTTTCTATTTCGATAACATATCGATCAATAGATTCAACAATACATATACATATGAATATACATTTAGCATTTAGACAGTGTATATGTATCATATACATTTCGATAACATATCGATCAATAGATTTGGTATATATCACTACGCATTTGCTGGCAAATAAGCAAAACATAGTTTGGTGTTTAGGGCATTTAGGTAGTGCATATGTATCATTTTCATTTCGATAACATATCGATAATTAGATTTGAGTATATACATATGAAAATACTTTTGCTGGAGTGTGAGCAATTGTGATTTTAGCGCTTAGTACAAATCTAAATTTTTGTATTATTATTTCCGATAAATTGTTGACTTTTACAGCCTTACATAAAGTCATTTTAGTGTTTTCTACTTATGTTACGCGCTCATCTCTATAGCTTCATAGATCCAATTCCAATTGCTGGAGAAAAGCGCATTAAACGCATTTGCTTTTAAATTAGTTGAACTGTCTGGCAACGCTCGCTGTGTGACATGTTGTGTTGTTGTTTTCGTTGTGGCTGTTGCCTACCTTTCAAATTGGATGAATACCAGCAAAAGCCCTAGCTGGCAAGTTTTACTCTTTTTTTAGGTTTTGGTTTTGGGTTGAGGTATTTTTTTTGTATGCTCATTGAAAATGTTCAGGTAGGGTATGCGGCAATGCTTGAATATGAGAATGTAATACAATCGAACTTCATAAATTCATAGAAAAAATATTTTCGATATTTATCGAAATCTACAAGCTTTTTCTCTATAGCTTAGAACTGTAAATTGATAGGAAGAGTATTATCGATATTTATCAATATCTACAAGCTTTTTACTTATGAAGAAAGCCTATACAGAAATTGATAGAAAATATATCGATATCATCGATATCTACTTATAGAGCTGTAGAGCCTAAATTTGCATTGCAAATTCATGTATATTCGTTTCATATATCGTATACAGGGCACGCTGCCGTCGTTCATTCAACGACGAGTGCACTCTTGTTTCAATTTGGCCAAGTTTTTGGCTGCAGAGATTGCATGCATAATGAAGATGGACGTCAATGGCAATCGAATTGTTTCATTCAGCAAAGTTTTAAACAAAGATCCCAAAAAGCGAATAGGAACTGAGCGCAGCTATGCCACAGCCAGTCAGCCAGCCAGCTAGACAGCCAGCTAGCCAGTCAGCCATTGGGCTCTAGAAGAAGAGCTCTCACTGTGGAATGAGAATGAGAAGACCAAGAACAAGGCGAAGAAGGAGGCGGCAGACACAACGGCAGAGGCAGAGGCAGCAGCAGCGGCGTGTGCATTGGGAGCAGCTTTAAAAATGCAATCCAGCGCGTGTTGTTTTTTGTTTTCATTTTTTTTTTTTTTTTTTTAGAGCTGTGCGTTGTTTTTGCAGTGCATTAAATCAAACGGAGACGCTCGAGAGAGCGAAAGAGAGGCTGAGAGACAGACTCTGATGGTGGCATGTGTATATGTGTGTGTGTGTGTGTTGACAGCAATGGCAACACTTTAGAACTTGGCCTGTCAGCAACAGCAACAGCAGCCTTAAAAAAGTTTGCGGCGTTTTTATAGTCGCATAAGCTCACTTCCTTTTTTTTAAATACTTACTTAGCAGCTAAAGCAGGGTATATTGGCTTTTGCGTCTGTTCAATTTGAAAGTTGGATGAGCAGTATTTATAAGAAAATTTTATGTTTATGTTATATAAGATAATGTAGGTTTTTTTTTTTTTTTTTTTTTGGATTCGTGAGTTATTTAAGGTCCATTTTAAAAACATCCTTTTATGCTGCATATATCAATTGTGGAAGAATAGGGTAAATACAGTCGAGTCTCGATAATTTGTACCCCGATAAAGTGAAAATCGCGATAAATCGATAAAAGCCCTATCCCCTTGAACAAAATTCGTACTCAATAATTCTCGATAGTTTGAATTTCTCTGTAAATCGAAAAAAAAAAACTTATCCCTTTCGCATTTAGAATTATCGGAACTCTACTGTAATAGGTTACGAATACAAATTCCATTCACTGTAAATTAATGTATATAAATATTCATGCATCTTAGAGTACCTCAGTTTGCTTCTGCACTCAGTTTAAAATCTCTCAAATTCGCTTCAACAAATAGAGAATTTTTTGTTTTGGGTTAGCGAGCATTACGCAGTCGTTCTATGTCTCTCTGTTTTCTACATTTTTTCTTCTAATTTTTTGTTGTTGCTTCTTCTGTTACGCTCTGTGCCATTTTTTTTTTGTACGTGCACCTTTTGACCCTATTTCCGGGCAGCGGGCAGTTTATTGCCCAAGTTGTTGAGCTGCAGCATCTTCTTCTAGTTTATCAATGCCATTGTTGTTGTTGTTGTTGTCGCTGTCTGATGCAGTCGATAAATGTCAATGTTAGCGTTAAAGTTGTCATCAGCCGTGAAAAGAGAAGGAAATGCATAACTCCCTCACGTCTGAGCGCTCCGTTGCAGTTGACATAAAGTTGACGTGGGCTGTGTCTTTATTTTTTAATAATAAACGAAAGTCTGGCAACGGCATCAACTTTAAGCTGTCCCTAAGCCATGATGATATAAATAACTTAGCTTATGATATAGTATATCCGTTTCATTCATGTCTCCAAGTACTACCAGGTGGCAGCGCTGTATTACTTATAGCTCATCTATGGCTTAGTAGAGCTGGCATTTGAGAGACTTTTAATTTATGTTGGAGCTCAATTAAGTTTTTCACACATTTTGGTCGTCAAATACTTTACGAGCACTCACTAAATTTAACTAGTACTTGGGAAGTGGAATCAAATTATTAGCTCTATAAAGTGCTTGTAAATTCCTTCATGAAATTTTACTATACACTCAAATTTCTACTGGACGCTCAGTGTAACCGTTTAGCTGTGCAAACTTTGTAGAAATAGAGCTGTAGAAATTTGTCTACGACTATCAATAAATTGTCAGTGCAAGTAAAAATGAGAAATGTGGGGACGAAGTGGGGTTATACAGCGTCTTTGGCTGTCCTGGTATCCCCTGCTATATATACACCTATATCTAATATATTCAATTATATAATCGATTGATTCTTATCGGTCTTTAATCGATCGATAGTAAGTTCCCCCATATGCTCGAAGTACGAGTTCTAGTTAAGCACGATCAAGTCGATGCGCCGTGAGAGCGAAAATATTACATATGCATTTGAGTAGAGATAGAGAAGAAACGGAACCAAACGGATGACAATCTCTTCACAAACGCTTATCTATTACAAAGTGAAATCTATTGATCCATTTGTCGTTCTTCAATTACCATGTTGGTTTGCGAAACCTAAAACCATTATTCGAATCGAATAGATGAATGAGAACTGAAACGTTTTATGCCTTATTAGCTGTATCGTTAAGATATGAAATTTGAATGCCAAGGATTCAGTGATAAAAAAGCAACCTCTTTATAGAATACATAGTATATACATATGTATAAATAAGGCTCTAGTAGGCAGTGCTTCACTTTAAGTTTCCTTATAGATTGCTCTCTATAGCTATCTCCTCTATTGTTCATCAATCAATTAGTCCGTAGGACAAAGAATTCTCTGAACAACCTCTAAGCCTGGGGGAAACTTTATTAACGAACGTGGTAGCATTGTACCTTTACTATATCAAATATATATATATATATATATATATATATATATATATATATATATATATATATATATATATATATATATATACATTTATAAAGCAACAACTTTGTTAAGTTTGGTGCACTTATGAAATATACAAGTGAAATATTTTGGCAATTTTTGGCAGCAAAGACCCGCTCAAAGGACATTAATGGTCTCCTACAAAGGACTTAAGTGCTGCGGGGGTAGGACAGGGTACTTTTCGGGAATTGTTCTTGTTGTTGGAGGGAAAGCCGCAAAAAGCTGCTTAGCCGCTGCTTGTCGCGTTTTGTTGTTGTTGTTGTTGTTGCTGTTGGCGATGTTCAACCAAAGCATGCAATAGACCCGCCCAAGCCTCGTTGGCTTGTGTACGACGCCACTGACCGTGGCAACCCTTTCGACTTGTTCGTCTTGTTCTGCTTCTTGTTGCCTTCTCTCTCTCCCTCTGGTTTTTGTTTTTTTTTTTAACCACTTCAAACAAGTTGCTGCTTTTCATAATTAAATTGAAAAATTTATGCGCAATTAAATGGAAAACTTTGCTTTGTGGTCCAAAGCAACGCAAAAGCCAATGCGAGGGAGAGCGAGACAGGCAGCCAGACAGTGGGAAAGAGAGGAGGGGAGGGGGAGAACGACTGGCTATAAATAGATGTAGTTGCATGCATTTGATTAGCGCATATCCTGTAAAAATTCTGTAATGGTTGAAGTTTAGGGAAATTCAATTAAAATGAAAGCGATGGCTCGACTAACGTATACCTTTACGATAGACATGCCCTGTAAACAAGCATATTAGTTAAGATACAACTTTTCTAATGCCCCAAAAATCTATCCGAATTCTTAAACTAAACTCTTCTATGTCGAATCAAGCGACAATTGAGTTAAAGAACCTACTCTAATATGAATTGCATATAGCTAGCCGGTAGCCCCTTTATACAGGGTATATGCCAATTGCAAGTGCAAATGACTAAAGAGCGCAATGTCTGTGGTCTGACGAATTATATAATTATTGCATAAAGCGATGACATTTGCCATTATAACTAATCCCTTCTATTCTCTTACATCCCTCAGCTGGGCGGTATCAACGGTAACAACGCGTCAGAATCTGGTTCCGCGAGTGCTGGGCGTTGAGGACGGCGGGGAGCTGTCAAGTCAATTCGAGGGCTTTACCGAAGGGGCCGATGGGAAGCAAGAGATACCGTCGGATGCCGCTAATTTACCAATATCGGCATTGATACCCTATTGGGACATGGCGAACCATCGCTCTGGCAAAATCACCTCGTTCTATGACCAGGCCGCTGGGCAAATGGAATGCACGGCCCAGGAGGCGTACAAGTCGGGCGAGCAATACTTTATCTACTATGGCGATAGATCCAATGCGGATCGACTAGTGCACAATGGGTGAGTATTCGTTGGTCTAGTAAACTCTGTCGTTTACTCTCTCATTCTCTTGCTCCGTTCGCATAGTTTCGTTGACATGCAGAACCCCAAAGACTATGTGCAAATACGCTTGGGTCTCAGTCCAACGGATGCGCTGGCCGAACAGCGTGCCATCCTGCTCGCCGAGCTGAACATTGAGCGTAAAGCGGAGCTGCGTGTACTGCCCGCACCGGAGCACATATCGGGCGAGCTGTTGGCATTTGTGCGCGTCTTCAATATGAGCAAGGAGCAGCTGGAGCACTGGTGCAGCGACTTGGAGCGTGCTGTCGACCTGCTGCACATCGACTGTGCACTCGAAACGGACCTGGAGACACGCACCTGGCAGTATTTGTACCAGAGGCTCAAGCTGCTGCTCGGCGTGCTCGAGGCGACGCTCAAGGAGACCGACGAGCTGAAGCAGCTGGAAGCACTGCAGCAGCAGGCCGATGCATCTGAAATTGATATTATGGTCCTACAATATCGTCGACTCGAGCGTCGCATACTCAGCGATGCGCTCCAGTATGCACAAGAGCGTTTGAAGGTCTAAGATCTAGCTCGATTCGACATTAATTTTTGTCCCGATACAAAGACTACGAAACCTATCCTAGTAAAGCCTAAGATATAAAACTAACAAAACGGCCATCAATTTGATTTGACGGCTCTAAATTTGGAGTTTCATAGATATTTTTCATGCTTGAATTTGAATTAATTTATTTGTGAATCAATTTAAAATGTTGCAATATTTCAATTGATTTGCATATCATAAATATTCTCGATATCATCTGCATTAAATTATTGCTTTAATAGTTTTTTTTTTTTTTAATATATATATATTTTTATATAGTTTGCTAATGATTTTTTAATTTAAATTTGATTAATGTCGCTTAATAATTGTTTTATGTTTGTTTCTTGCGCCATACGAAATAAATGCAATTAATACCATTTGGTCAACCACTTTGGTCAATCTTGAGGGCTTCAACAAATAGACGTTCGATTTAAGGGAATGAAAAGTGAATTCAATTCAAAAAGTTTCGTGAGAAATTAAATAATTTAGCTGGACTTATCTTGCATGCACAATTGATATTGATTAAATAATTAATGTAGATGGCGAAATGACTTTAATTGGAAATATGGAAGTCAAAGTGGAAATAATCAACAGCAGCAACAACAAATCAACAGACATCTAAAACAAAATACGACAACAACAGCAACATAAAATTTAATCAATCAGCATTCACAATATGCAACAATCGATATATGACCTACACTATACAGCATACAATCATTAACAACGGGCTACAATTTACAACCTAAGCTCAATAACAGGACATAATAATATACAATGAAGTATGAGAATAGATAATAGCAACATAGAGGATACGTTCAGTAAAAATCAACCACATCAACAGCAACGTCGAGCTCAACCATTATCATTAAAAGCAGCATCAATATAAGCAACAACAGCAATAGCAACGACAACAGCTCTCAGCAACAACATGTGATAACAACCACAACAAACAACAATAACAAAACAACAAATCTAGCAAAAAAAGGCAAAAGAAATGGGAAAGCAGCATCCACAAAATGGGCGCATCCAATGCAAATGAGCATTAAAAACGAAATCGCCTTAAAATGTATGAAAATGCGCTTAAGTGCTTAAGTAGCATAGACCCTATACACACACAAACACAAACACGCACACACACACATATACATGTACACGCACCCATGCAATTACCAAAGACACATTGAGACGTAGCATAGAGCATTTGGATTAAAACAAGCCATGCTTCTAACCACGTGTCCATGCGGCCGCCCCTTTGTGTCATTGTTGCTGTCTGTGGTCTATACATATACATATATATACATATATGTATGTGTGCGTGTGGTGTGCGGCTATGTGTGTGTGCATAGATTTATGTAAAGCATTGCTGTTGTGCGTCGGAATACGTGCGTTCGAATGTTGATGGAACGCAGACAAGCAGAGAGATGGGCCGACACGGACACTGGGACGAATGGGACAGTTCAAATATGCCATAAAGGATACCCTAAAAAGGACAAAGGGAAATGTTTCAAAATTCACTTTGTAGTTGGCAAGGCGAAGCCAATTGTGAATTATGGCCAGAAATCGTAGGATATGCAATTCAAGTCGATTAGAGTTTGCTGTTTTCGTCTGTCTCTACGAATTTTCGTCTGTCGAATGTCGTTTTTCTCCATTAAGAGTTTTTAATTGGATTTGCATTGAATTGAATTGTAAGCCATAGCCTATAGGGCTTCATTTTCGATCCTGAGTCCTTTATTTGCATTGTAAATCATTCAATCATTCAGTTAATCAATCTATTGTTAGCTATTTAACTAGTCAGTTAGTCAGTTAGCTCAAGGCTGTGCGCAACAACACATTCATAATAATCAATCAATCAAACATTTCATATCCAAATCCATCAGTCAACCTGTCCATTATTTGATTAGCTATTCAGTCAATTATTAATGAAGTTTATTAGCTAGTTATGCTTATGAGTTCGTCTAGTAATTCAATTAAACAAGTAGTTAATAAGTCCGCTAGTCAGTCATAGTCAATCAATGAATTAGTTTGTTAGGCTGATAATCGATGAGTCAATCAGTCAGTATGATAGTCGGTGAATAAGTCGACTGATCCACAATTTAACTGATTGAAAGACTAATAGACTAATCCGTTAACAATTCAATATGTTAGTCAGTCAATCAGTCATTGGACCAGACTTTCATCTCTCCGTCAGTCAGTCAATCATTCAGTCTATAGCTAAATCAGTCAATTACTCAGCTGGTCAAATCTTCAAAAATTTAGCGAAACACAATTATCGATATACATGTATCGATAAATCCACACGCTTTTTTCATACCTTTTATGTTCAATCAGACTGAGTCACACCCAAGATACACGCGCACACATACACACACATGTACACACTCGCACACACGCACACACACACACGCGCGCACACATTCATACATACCCGTGTCAACAAATGTCTGCAATCTGTGTGTGTGTGCTGTAGTTTTGCGTTTTGGTCCACCCACAAATTGCAGCGGCTTATGGGAAGGCAAAAACAAAACAGAAATCTTTAAAGGCCGATGGGCGTGACCATTTGCTAATTGCTTGACAGCAACAAATTGGCCAGTCCAATTAGCAACTTTAAAAGTGGACGGCATGGCCTGGTCCTGGTGATGATGGGTCGTCGGCGGGTGGTGCAAGTTTAAGTGATGTGATTGCAATTTCGGCTTTGGCGTTTGTGGAGCAAATGCAAAAAGTCAGCAACGAGGCAGCAGCGAGCAAAGCAACTGGAACAGCTGCAGCAACGGCAATCGATGGCATAAGCCAAACTAAATTGCTAACAGGATACACACGCTCACACACACTCACTCACACTCACACACACGCGGACACACTGAGACACGCATACATATATTTCAATCAACTGCCTAAACACTTTTCAAATTGTGCAATTGAATTGAAAACGCGAATCTCTCGCTCTCTCTTTCTCTCTCTCTCTCTTTCTCTCTCTCTCTCTATATATATTCATGTGTATCACAGGCTTCTATTGGTGCAAGGGGCGTGGCCTGTGAATAGCCGTTTCAAATAGCTATTCAAGTGTCAAATCAAATGTCGCGCAAGTGGTTAGCAAGTGGTTGACGCCGTCGGTTGCATTACTGATGACTTTTGTCGCGCCATTTTAATGACATTTTCAAAGTGTTTGCATTTCCAATTTGCCAGCAAAGCGAAAAAGAGAAACACAGGGAGGGAGAGAGAGAGAGGGGGAAATGGAGCAGATGCTGTGTGCTCGCTGTTGGCATAAACATTTAGCCAAAATCAAATATGCATTCCACTTTTCAGCAAACAGCGAGGCACAGCAACTGTTCCATAATTAAGAGCAATCACTACATATTTGGACTAGCATTGGGGGTATTCTATGGTACCTGATATATAGATATAGAGTAGGTACTTTGAATAGCGGAAAGAGCAAAACTTGAAAGTGTTTGAAGCTAAAGATAATCGGGGCAAGCGTCAAAGAGTTGAGCTGAAGAAGGCTAGTTTGGCATATATAATAGTGATTATTACAGGGTATTAGTAATTATGTTAAGTTCTTGTGTCTTAAACAATTGATGTCATGATAATGCACTTCAGAGACCTGAGACTAGAGACCTGACCCTCTCTAAAAAATCAATTCAAGAAGATTTTGTCTAACCCATTAGCTTTCTCCCTATCTCCCACTTTATATATATAGATATGCATATATATAAGAAGAGCATGTTATTTAATGTGAATATATGTATATGCGACAAAAGCAACTTTAAGTTTGATGTATCTCTCAACAGGCACTTCGCATGCATAATAGATAGCAGCAAGAGCAGCAGCACCTGGCAGCTGGCACCTGGCAGATGGCTTCGTGTGAAAGCCTTTCCGCTGTCGGTTAGCTGATTAAACGGAAATATGTTAATGGCAGATGTCCATTAAATGAATTCCATTTGAAGAATTCTCAAAGCCAGAGAGGTGGGCACTTAATACGCTCATCAATAGTTGGACATAATTTGGCCACGTTGCGTATACGCAACGTCGACTCGCCAGCCAGTCATTAAAAGGAATAAATAATGCGCACACACATACGCACATATTCTGTATGTGTGTGTGTGTGTGTGTGTGTGCCTACAATATGATTAAACATATTTTTCAGCTGGCTGGCAAAGAAGCTGGCAAAATGGAGAAAGCGCCTGCACTTAAATCCACAGTGGCTGCTTTCGAGGGTGGTTTGGTCAGGTATGCAATAAAAACAGATTGTAATCTGCGTAAGTGGAAGTGGCCACATTTGGTTGCAGGCAGCGTGCCAGTGTCAGAGCGGCCCGTAGCCCATGCAACACACATACACGCGCACACACACACACATACAGAAAACGTAGCATGCAAAACAACAAACCAAACTATTGAGAATGTTGCAATACGAAAGAACGGAAGAAGCGTGAGAGATACCCTGCAGCTGACAGACATGACTGAGACTGGGAGGCTTAGCGCGTTAGCACTATGCCTATTGGCTCCAATATATGTATTAACTCTGCAAGCAAAGCGCTAAATCTTTAGTTATTACATACATTTATCGATTAATTTATATATATATTCAATCTATATGTATGTATATGAAGACTGTGTTGAGACTGAACCATTCTTTTTTCTTTCTTTGAGGAATGCAATAGAAAATCGGTTATATGTTGTAAACGCATTGCTCGTTAGCACAGATCGATAATTACAAGTTTGATCGATAACGACCTTTTTATGAAACGCAATCATTTTAAATAATAATCGATAATTTATTTTTCTTGAGTTAAAAATCAGGACATAGAATATGAAAAAGACTCTAAATATAGGCATATATAGTAATTATTATAAACTATATCGATAAATTACTGATCGATAATAAACAAGTTAAAATGTAGTGTATTTTAATAACATAGAAACAGGGAGAAATATCAATAACTAAGTGCCGTTGCGCTACATATAACTACCGATAAGTATTTATCGATCGATATAAGTCTAAAAAATGTTAAAAATATATTTAGAAAATATATTAATAATTAGATGAATTAATAAATAATGATTAAGAAATCGAATGCGGTGATGATCGATAGATTTCTATAAGGAAAACTACTAAATGTATAAAATTATATTGATTAAATTTGATCAAAAATGTTTGTCTCGTATGATAATTCATATGGTAAATATGGTGAAGTAATAAGTAATAAAAAACTGATCGAGAAATTAAAAAATATAAAACTAAGCAGTGCGTGGAGAAACAAAATCTTGAATAAGGCTAAGGTACTCTTTGAAGCCCTAGTTAATTCAAAATTGATCAAAGCGTTTGTTATGCAACCCGTTCAATTTGGTTGCAGGCATACAGGGTATGCGCTGGGTATGAAAATAATAGCCTGACAGACTGTGAGAGCTCTTAAATTTTCTAGTTGCCATATCGAGAGATTCGCATGTTTTTTGCCCGTTGTTGTTGCGGCTGTTTGTATAGCCGCCCCAAAATTCATGGGGCTTACTCTAATATTTGCTCGAACTTTGTGTCATCTTTCCTCTTTACTAGCCTTGCAGTCTGTTTTTCTCTTGCCCGTCTGCCTGTCTGCCTTTTCATCTGGCAGATGCAGTTGCAGCTGCAGCTGCACCCGAGACCAACTTGATGAAATTTCACAAATTTTCGTTATGCAAGAGCGAATTCCCCTAGTCCCGCCCAGAGAAATGCAGAAAGGGGGTTTCGTTACATTCTGTAAGCATCTGTTTAATAGAGTTACAAATGTTGAGCACCAAATCACAATTTCCAACTGACTAAAAACAAATGCAGTCGCCAATGGAATGAAGACTCTTTTCATCTGAACAGATTTGAAATTGAACCTTGCGTAGCCAACCTTGTCTATTAGGTGTAGTTTTCTATCGATAAAAATCGATATCATACCTGTATTATTTACGCATATCCAATTATTTTGGAGAACTTTTCATTTTTTGTACTGCTTTACTGTCTAGTTTTTCTTCTCTCTGGTTATTCTAACAGAGATTCATTCAAGTAGACTAAACTTACTTATGGAGTTCGCGTTGAAGAACTATATACTTCCTTTTTAGTCTTTCTCCTCTGTCCTTCTTTTGCTTTTCTTCTTAACTTCTGCCTTTACTTTCTCAAAGTCTGCATGTTTACTTTGAATATTTCGCGTGACTTGCTTTGCCTCTCTATGTGCTTCTCACAGCCAGATTTGCTGGGCAATTTAATTGATTGATTTTTGTTTTCTTATTTCGATTCTATTTTTTTTTTTTCAATAGAGGAACAACGAAATTGTTAATCAAATGGAAATTTGTTGTTCTTGTTCTTGGCAATTTTCACACAGCCCTCACTAGGCTCGTCTAAAGCCTACGGACTACCATGTATGAGTGGCCGAGTAGCCAAGTAACTGAGTGCTTGAGTGGCAGCAACAGCGTTGTTGCTGTCGCAGTAGATGCTGCTGCTGCTGCTGCCGTCTAACAAGGTTACCTGGGCAACTAATTTGCATGGGACGTGACTGTACCTGAGTGCAGCTGCGAGGCACTGTCACCGTGTTTGTTAGCAATTAACTGGGCCATTGTTGCTGTCAACATTTCCAAGCTCAAGCAGCAGCAGCAGCAGCAGCAGTAGCAGCAGCAGTAGCAGCAGTAGCGCCAGCATCAATATTGTTGTTGCTGCTGCCGCTGTTCAAGCATTCTTGCATTTTGCATTGGAAATAGCCACGCAGCTAGCTGCTTATTTTATTTGCTAATTGCAACACTCGACGGCAAGCGGCAAGGACGAGAAAAGGACGAGCCCTTGACAAGTGCTCGACAAGTTTCTAGCTGCGACAGCAACAGCAGCAGGAGCAGCAATAGCAAGAGCAGCAACAACAGCAACAGCAACAGCAACAGACAACATTGTCGCTGTAGGGCAAATGCTCTTCGGCTCCACGCCTTCTTGCATCCTTCTGGGTTAACATGGCAAACAAATTAAAAGTGACGCATCTTATTCTCTAGCTCTGCCTCTTTCACTCTTCTACCTATCTCTCTTGCTCGCTTTCTCTTGCTGCTGCTGCGTTTCCACACTTTAACATTCACATTTACATCTTTTCTTTACCTTTAACTTTTTACATTTTTTTTATAAATCTTGCCCAAAGAGAGAGAGAGAGAGATAAGTAGATAGAGTGCAAGTATGTGCAGAGCAGGTAACCAGCAAAGCCCTTGACTGTGCATTTTGTAGTGCTCTAAGCTTGTGATTAATTCCAAAACCCACTTAAATATTCATTTGAAGATCTTCATTTAAATGAGTTGATCAACTTATCGGTAAAGAACTTGATTAAGTTTTAGCTTGCCATTGCCATTCACTACTCTGCGCCGATATTTTGACCTCAATTGATTTTCTTTTACCGTCACTAGTTTGGTATATCGATGTAAAGCTTATCGATATGCTTAATAGGAAAATACTAGTTTTTGAAAAGAGTTTTTGAAATACTCCAATGTGGCTTTAATGATTTACGAACATTACGGAAATGTATGTTTGGACTCTATGAAGGGTCCTAGGACGTGGGCGAGCCATAGACTGAAGATTGTGGTGCCTAACTTTAGGGTAAATTAGAGAACTGATGGTAATATATGTATATACATGTATGTACAGCATATGTAGCCGACTCTTTTTCTTCCGCAGACTCGAGAATTTCATTGGCATAGATCTGTTTCAGCTCTTCTTCACCTCTCTGACGGATTCTCAATGCTGCTCAAGTCTAAGCCAAATGTCAATACAATTGAGTCGTTACAATATTGAGACAGAATATCGGTTTTGCTATGCTGCACTTTGTCTCTCTATCTCTCGCTGTTCGCTTTCCCGTCGCTCTCGATATAATCTATGGAATTTATGTAAGCAGGCAATAGATACGGAGCAATGCTGATGCGGACACAGATCCAGATGCAGATGCTTAAGAGAATTGCAAAAGAAAATGTCAAACAAGCTAATAACAAGCTCAGACAGCAAGCCCGCCAGCCAGACAGCCAGAGCCTGGGAGAGAGAGAGGGGGAGAGTGTGTTTGATTTAAGGACATTGCTAGTGACAGTTGGAAGGCAGTTAAAGTCAACACGCATACGCCATGTGTGACAGGCTGCAGCAGCAGTTGTCATTGAGGGGGCGTAGCTTATTGAAGATGCCTGGTCCAGGCAAGATCGGGCAAAGGGCTGTCGAGGGGATGACGGGGTGCTGGGGCTGCATAGCAAGTAATCCATACAAAATACTTGTACATATGATGCATATTTCATTGGAGGCAACAACTGCGACTGCCCATAATATATTCATATTCGATATCCAAACACACATACACAAATTGAATATGTCATGAGGTGACGGACAGACGGACGGACGGACGAGGGTGGAGCCGTTGAGGTCAGTATTGGTTGTCAATTTAATATGAATAATAAGTAATAAATGCATACGATTACAATAACAATGACACAACTTGAAAACTTCATAATGTTTGCCAATGCTTAAAACTAATACGATTTCAACGGAAGCTCTTGCTACGGCTGCATTCCGTTGGGACATTCCGGCCAGAAATACCACTTAAATGTTTCATAAATTGTTCATTTATGCAGACAGAGGGCAACATTTTGGTTACATTTACTAAATCACATAATGTGCTTGCTTCTCTGTGTGTGTGTGTGTATATAAATATATATATGTATATATGTGTGTGCGTGTGTGTGTGCACATTACGCAGTCAGCCGACAGCGCAAAATGTCCACGGGGATTGGCAGCGGGCAACAAATTGACTGACGAGAGCGACCCCATTATGACGCAACAGAGCTAGAGACAGGCAGAGAACGTAAGAGAGAGAGAGAAATGTAGAGAGAGATGCACTGAAAAGAATTCATACCAATCAAAACTCTTATTGCTTCAATTAAGTTTTGCTATAAATTTCCCAGACTAAATTCAAATTTGTGAACTTACATTGTATGTGTGTGTGTATTTTTTTTTTTTCCGATTTTACACATTTGTGAGTTGGTCTTAGAAATGATTTCTTTAAAGGCCATATCTATCTATAATAGAATTTTCTTTTAGGTTTAATGCTTAAGATTTATTTTATTGCCTGAAGGCCTTTGCTGCTCTGGCTTAAAACTTGTTATTTAGAATTCATTCTTTGCAACAATAAATAAATAATACTAATAAATAATACTAAATAATAAGGTACAAGATTTGTACATTGAGCCAAATTTTATTAGCATAGATATGCTGTTAACAGCTAGGTTGACAAAGCTACCACACAGTTTATAATAGAATTGCCAGATCGACAATTGTAAATGTGCTTGGCTTTCTGATCAGAAAGACGTTCTGAATCAATCCATTTAAATTATCAGATTAAATTGAAAACATTTATATGAACACAATGAAATGATTTATTTTTTTATTTTTTTTTTATATATTAGATTAAAATAAATAAAAAATAATAATATAAAATATATTAATTTAGTTTTTTTTTCACTTTTTTCACTTTTTTTTTATTTTTTTGCTTTTATTTAAAAATTTAGTTATTAAAATATTTTTTATTATAAGAAAAATTATATTGACTTCTCGACTTTTCTCTCAGTGCAGCCATTGAGTGGATTAGAGAGGCAATGCCTCTCCCCAAGGACGTCAAAAATTCAGCTACATCTGTCAATTGTTGTCGCTGTGTCTGTGTGTGTGTGTCTGTCTATCTCTGTCTCAACTCTCTCGCTCTCTTAATAAATTAACATAATTGCGCAATTTTTCACAATTTGACAGCTTAATAAATATTAAATTTTAATTAATTGAATGCCGTTAAGAGATGCCCCAAATGCAACAGTTTCCACTCGCTTTTCCTCCTACTCACTCTCTCTATCTCTCTCCCTCTTTCGCTCACTCGTTCTCTGGTGTGCACTTAATGCTGGCAATTAGCGCCTGGTCAACAGCTTCATAAATATATCAAACAATTAATCAAAGTGCAGCCTGCTTTAAAAAAAAGAGAGGGAAAAATACAAAAACAAGAAGAAGACTATCATCAGCGACACACACAAAATGGCGGCTGACATTTCCGTTTCCGCTTCGGCTAAAATATAAATACAGGAAAATCAGTGTCATATTACATATGCTCGCTTAATATGTCAAATTATTCAATATTAAGGGATTTGTAACAAAAAAAAAAGTATTTTTTTTTTTTTTAGCGTTGTAAATAGTTTTCCATATTTCTCTGTTACATATTTGTGGACAAAATTAATATACCCTGAGTATACATATTACAATCTGTTTAGAAACTACAGCAGTAGCCAAATAGCCCAGAAATAAAATATTCCAAGCCGTTTGACAATATGACTTAAATACTTAATAAATCCCATTCACTCTGGCATTAAATGCTCCAGTTTGTAATTCAGCTCAAAGTAATTTGACTGCCGCATGGATCCTTTTATCGCCTTTATCAGACTGCAGTGTGCAAACATTTGTTTGTGCATTATTGAAATTTGTCTTGTGACATTTTAATTAATTTATGGTCATTCAGTTTGGCACTGCACGAAATACGCTTTCAATGCCAAACGATTTTCTAATTAATTGCCTCAATATTTCTTAATGTTTTATAATTTGAAATTGTGTAAAGCAAATTTATGTAAATGTATCTGTATCTGTATCTGTATCTGTATCTGTATCTGTATCTGTATCTGTATCTGTATCTGTATCTGTATCTGTATCTGTATCTGTATCTGTATCTGTATCTGTATCTGTATCTGTATCTGTATCTGTATCTGTATCTGTATCTGTATCTGTATCTGTATCTGTATCTGTATCTGTATCTGTATCTGTATCTGTATCTGTATCTGTATCTGTATCTGTATCTGTATCTGTATCTGTATCTGTATCTGTATCTGTATCTGTATCTGTATCTGTATCTGTATCTGTATCTGTATCTGTATCTGTATCTGTATCTGTATCTGTATCTGTATCTGTATCTGTATCTGTATCTGTATCTGTATCTGTATCTGTATCTGTATCTGTATCTGTATCTGTATCTGTATCTGTATCTGTATCTGTATCTGTATCTGTATCTGTATCTGTATCTGTATCTGTATCTGTATCTGTATCTGTATCTGTATCTGTATCTGTATCTGTATCTGTATCTGTATCTGTATCTGTATCTGTATCTGTATCTGTATCTGTATCTGTATCTGTATCTGTATCTGTATCTGTATCTGTATCTGTATCTGTATCTGTATCTGTATCTGTATCTGTATCTGTATCTGTATCTGTATCTGTATCTGTATCTGTATCTGTATCTGTATCTGTATCTGTATCTGTATCTGTATCTGTATCTGTATCTGTATCTGTATCTGTATCTGTATCTGTATCTGTATCTGTATCTGTATCTGTATCTGTATCTGTATCTGTATCTGTATCTGTATCTGTATCTGTATCTGTATCTGTATCTGTATCTGTATCTGTATCTGTATCTGTATCTGTATCTGTATCTGTATCTGTATCTGTATCTGTATCTGTATCTGTATCTGTATCTGTATCTGTATCTGTATCTGTATCTGTATCTGTATCTGTATCTGTATCTGTATCTGTATCTGTATCTGTATCTGTATCTGTATCTGTATCTGTATCTGTATCTGTATCTGTATCTGTATCTGTATCTGTATCTGTATCTGTATCTGTATCTGTATCTGTATCTGTATCTGTATCTGTATCTGTATCTGTATCTGTATCTGTATCTGTATCTGTATCTGTATCTGTATCTGTATCTGTATCTGTATCTGTATCTGTATCTGTATCTGTATCTGTATCTGTATCTGTATCTGTATCTGTATCTGTATCTGTATCTGTATCTGTATCTGTATCTGTATCTGTATCTGTATCTGTATCTGTATCTGTATCTGTATCTGTATCTGTATCTGTATCTGTATCTGTATCTGTATCTATATCTGTATCTATCTATATCTATATCTATATCTATATCTATATCTATATCTATATCTATATCTATATCTATATCTATATCTATATCTATATCTATATCTATATCTATATCTATATCTATATCTATATCTATATCTATATCTATATCTATATCTATATCTATATCTATATCTATATCTATATCTATATCTATATCTATATCTATATCTATATCTATATCTATATCTATATCTATATCTATATCTATATCTATATCTATATCTATATCTATATCTATATCTATATCTATATCTATATCTATATCTATATCTATATCTATATCTATATCTATATCTATATATCTATATCTATATCTATATCTATATCTATATCTATATCTATATCTATATCTATATCTATATCTATATCTATATCTATATCTATATCTATATCTATATCTATATCTATATCTATATCTATATCTATATCTATATCTATATCTATATCTATATCTATATCTATATCTATATCTATATCTATATCTATATCTATATCTATATCTATATCTATATCTATATCTATATCTATATCTATATCTATATCTATATCTATATCTATATCTATATCTATATCTATATCTATATCTATATCTATATCTATATCTATATCTATATCTATATCTATATCTATATCTATATCTATATCTATATCTATATCTATATCTATATCTATATCTATATCTATATCTATATCTATATCTATATCTATATCTATATCTATATCTATATCTATATCTATATCTATATCTATATCTATATCTATATCTATATCTATATCTATATCTATATCTATATCTATATCTATATCTATATCTATATCTATATCTATATCTATATCTATATCTATATCTATATCTATATCTATATCTATATCTATATCTATATCTATATCTATATCTATATCTATATCTATATCTATATCTATATCTATATCTATATCTATATCTATATCTATATCTATATCTATATCTATATCTATATCTATATCTATATCTATATCTATATCTATATCTATATCTATATCTATATCTATATCTATATCTATATCTATATCTATATCTATATCTATATCTATATCTATATCTATATCTATATCTATATCTATATCTATATCTATATCTATATCTATATCTATATCTATATCTATATCTATATCTATATCTATATCTATATCTATATCTATATCTATATCTATATCTATATCTATATCTATATCTATATCTATATCTATATCTATATCTATATCTATATCTATATCTATATCTATATCTATATCTATATCTATATCTATATCTATATCTATATCTATATCTATATCTATATCTATATCTATATCTATATCTATATCTATATCTATATCTATATCTATATCTATATCTATATCTATATCTATATCTATATCTATATCTATATCTATATCTATATCTATATCTATATCTATATCTATATCTATATCTATATCTATATCTATATCTATATCTATATCTAT